AAACATGTCAAGTGTCTTTACTCTGGGCTAAGATTTATGTCAGTTCAAAGTGGGCACAGTGGGTTTTCTCCTGCTGATCCCAAGCTCTCACTGGCAGTTCTGTAGGGCTTGGCTGTGTCAGAACCTCTTATTTCTGAATGCAGTTCATTTGGGAGACCAAAACTTTTGAAACATGGAAGAGGCCCACTTCTAAGAATCCAGCCTAAGGAAATAACCAGAAACTCCCACAGATATTTGTTTATGAGGATGCACTGCGGCATTATTTTTAACCCTAGAAAAACTGGAGAAGACTTCCGTGTGAAGCAGTCAGGGAGGAGCCAGTGGAATAAATCTCGGTCTCCTGAAGCCGGGGAGAATAGCGATGGAGCGCCCCGATTTGCTGGCCTGGAGAGATGGTGGTACGTCAGGAGGTGAAAAAGCTGTATTTCAACGGGGTAGTTTTTAGCATTTTGAGATTTCCAAGTAGCCTATGTGTAGTGTGATCCCGTGAAAAGCATGTAAATTTTACATTAAAAGAAATATTTAAATATCCAGGGGCCAGCCCCGTGGCCCAGTGGTTAAGTTCGCACGCTCAGGGTTAAGTTTCGGCAGCCCAGGGTTTTGCCAGTTCGAATCCTGGGTGCGGACATGGCACTGCTCACCAGGCCACGCCGAGGCGGCGTCCCACATGCCACAACTAGAAGGACTCACAACTAAAAACACACAATTTTGTACTGGGGCGCTTTGGGAGAAAAAGGAAAAATAAAATCTTTAAATATCCGTAGTTATGTGTACACACAGGGTTACAGAACAGTCTGACAGGATATTCAATAAACTAATCAGATTTAGCTCCAGGTGGTGGGTTTATTGATGATTCTTTTTGCTTTTAGCTACCTGGTTTTTCTCACTTTCAAAAGTTAACATACCTCACTTGTATGGTAAATCATTTTTTAAACTTAGAGGGGATATAAAGAAAGTGACAAAGAAACTGGTTCCTGCTGTACTCAGAGAGCACCAGGGCCCTTGGTGGCCGAGCCCGAGCCCGGTCCCAGTGCCGAGAGACTTATGCCGGGTCCAGTGGCCCCTTCCCTCACCTCTCAGAGGGGGTTTTCTGAGGGCCCCTCTGTGCCTAGCACTGTGCCTAGTGCCTTGGGGTCATGACATCACTGCACCTCCATGACCTTCCTTTGAGGCAAGGATGAGCATTCCGTCATTTGCAGATGAGGAAGTGGAGGCTCAGAGAAGTTAAGGGATGTGCCCAAGGTCACACAGGTGAAAGGTGCTGGAGCTGGAACCAAAACCTGTTGGATTTGGGATGAAGACGATGCCCTAATCAAACAGGAGTCGGGAAGGCCTGTAGGGGGAGCCCTCACGCCCTAGTTCATCTCCAAGCACACCAACCCGGATGCCGGGCGGGCTCCATCCCAACGACGGGAAGTAGAACTCCTCCATGGCTCGAGGAGGACCGCTCCCGGCTCCCAGCAGCCCAGCCGGTGAGGAGCCGGCACCCCTGAACTGTCGCTCTCCCCCTGTGGACTTTCCTCCAGAGCAGCCCCTCCCTTCTTCTCTCAAAAGGCAGCTCCCTTGCCCTGTTTTCTGGATTTGCCTGAGGTTTGCCATAGCATGCCCATCCGAAATTGCAATTCTCTTGGCTGTTCCCTGATAAACTCGCTTTGAGGATAAAATAACAGGCGACTTTGCTATTTAAGCTGACGGACTCCCAAGCGCGTGCCTGTAACCGTTCCGTGGTCCTGTCTGGCTCTTGCTCGGAGCTCTGGCCAGCAGAAGTTATGGCCAGCCCCGCTCTGTATAGGCAGTGGGGGGGGCGGGGGGGGCGGGGGGGACCACGAGAGCCCGTCTTCCCTCCAGTACAGTCTCTGTGTCCCCAGCCTGACAAGGAATTCCTGAGATGCTCTCTGAATCTTAGCTGAGTTAGCACACACTGATAATGGTGGAGCTGACATCCCTGTCCCCCGTGGAGCACAGTGATACAGCCTCTGATGTTTGGCCACCCGAAGTGGAGACTGCCTTTCCCAGCCTCTTTGGCAGCTAGGAGTGGCCAGGTACCAAGTTCCAGCCAAAGGAATGTAAGTGGAGGTGTTGTGCTAGAGCTTCCTTAACAGAAAGCTGGCATGGGCCCTTTGCCCCTTCTTCATTTCACTTCTATCTGCTGGCTGAGATGCAGACGTGTTGACTGGAACTAGAGCAGCCACCTTGGGCCATGAGGTGTATTTGTGAATGGAGACAGTGCATGAAGGAGTCTAGGTCCCAGATAAAAGGATATAAGGAGTCTGGGGCCGGCCCCGTGGCCAAGTGGTTAAGTTCGCGCACTCCGCGACAGGCAAGCCAGTGTTTCGTTGGTTCGAATCCTGGGCGTGGACATGGCACTGCTCATCCAGCCACGCTGAGGCAGCGTCCCACATACCACAACGAGAGGGACCCACAACTAAGAATATACAGCTATGTACCAGGGGGCTTTGGGGAAAAAAAGGAAAAAATAAAATTGGAAAAAAAAAAAAAAAGAGGATATAAGGAGTCTGAATCCCAGACACTGTGGCTCAGCCAGGGAGCCCTCCCTTCAGACTTTTCCAGGTAAGGTAAATAAACATCTTCCCTGTTTAAGCTATTGTTATTGCCGCTCACAGCCAAACATATCCTAATTCACTCACTGACGGCCACTCTTGGCCAGAATGTGGGCTGGGTGCTGGGAAGCAAGACGAATCAGACATGAGCCCTATCTTCATGAAATGCAGACCCCAGAGGGGAGATGAAGATGAAACAGACAATCCTGACATGACTCTGTTTTCAATTTCATGCAGTAAGCCGTCATTTGTTCACACAGTCAGTCAACTCTCACCACCAGCTGGGCCTCCTGCTCAACACGAGGCGCTGTGCTGGGTGCAGGGCCTCTGGCCTCTGACCCGGTGGCTCTAGAATGTGGTTCCTGGCCCCCATCAGTCTGCGTCTACTCTTCTCAGCAGGTCCGAGAAGGCCGCCTGGAGCCTGGGGACTGGCCTGGCTCCGGCTCGGGCAGCGTTTTGGACCGCCTGCCTCACTGCACTGCGTGGACATTCAGCTCGGGAGGACAGGGCAGGGCTGGAGTGGGCGTGTAGAGAGGCGCGTGTGTACAGACGTACTTGGCATATGTTTAGGTGTGCACGAGATGTGCGCCTGGGCCCATAGCGGCTTTTGTGTGTATATCTCACACGTACGCACGTGCACACTAGGCATGCACTGAATAAAGCATGAGCTTATACTGTGACATGTGAACACAATGGAGTGACATTAACGTATCATGAGGTACATTATGCTACATGTTAACACGCATGTTGGAAATCATGACCGTGAACATCTGTCGAACAGTGATCTCAGCACCCCACTGGGACTGCCTCGTGTAATCCTCACGTCTCTCAGAGGCCGGCACTGTTATTATCCCCAGGTTAGAGGTGAGGGCACAGAGGCACAGAGGGGTTAAGTGACTTGCCTGGGGTCACACAGGTAGTCAGTGGTCAGTCCCCAGCCCGCACCCCTGACCCCCAACCTGCCCCGCCCTCCATGCTCGGCCTGGCCTTCGAACACCTGGAGCCCGTACAGGCACGTGCCAGTGCTGTACACGTGAGCAGGGGCACATGTGTGGACGGGGCGGCGTGCGCAATGGTGTTCACGATGGCGCGTCTACAGCTCTGTTGTTGGGGTGTGGCCCCGGTGTGTCCAGCCAGCCCCCCAGCCCGGGGCGCCCTTCCTCCCCTTTGTCTCCTGTGCACTTATCTCGGCGCGGGCGCCACCGCGTCTGCAGCCTGCCCTGCTCCTCCGGCCCGTCAGTTGACCGCCTGCCCTCCCTCTGCTGTTGTCCTCGAGCGGGGTGAGGGCGTGTCCCTTCATGTCTGTGTCACCCGGGTGTCTGGAACAGGCCTGACCAGGACTTTAGCAGTAATAACAACAGCTGCCGCTCGGCGGGCATGGCCGCTGTGGCTGGCAGCTGCAGGAGCAGTGACCTTGTGACTTCACTTAATTCTACTTATCACTCCCCTCTCGGGTGAGGAGGAAACGAGGGTCAGAGGGTCACTGACTGGAGCGGGTATGAGGCAGAACCAGAAACTGGCCCCCGAGCTTGGCTCCAGCTCTCTTGTCGCCATACCATGCTCCCTGTGGGGCTATTTCATCCTTTTTAAACGCTTACTTATTTTGGAATAGATAACCCACACACAGGAGACAGTTACGTGGTATGGAAATGTATAATGTTGAAATGTGTCCCTCCACCCCTGTCCCCCAGCCTTCCCGCCTGTCCCTGAGGCAACCGCTGTTCCCGGGTCTCGCATGTGCAGGGCCCCCTGCACACTGAGTTTTCTCACTTGTGTCTGTGTGTGTGTGTGAATCCTTCCAGAGAGGTTTCAAGCATCTATAAGCACATGTGCTGATCTGTACCTGCCATAATTTCCTTCTTTTACGCAAATGGGGCCGCAGCCCACGCCCGGCTCTGCCCCTCGCTTTGTTTACCCCACCGCTCGGCATCTCTCCGCACCGGCAGGTGGAGAGCTTCCTCACTGCTTTGTACGAGTGCTCGGCACATGTGGAGGGGAATTTAGTTAAAGCTTCCTACTCCAACGCTGCGACAAATGTTCTCGTGCAGACACGGACTTTCACTGAACGACTGGGTCGATGGACGAACGAGTGAGGAGGTGAGAGCAGGCGTGAGGCTGGGGCCCGGGTTACGGGGGACCCTAGCTGTGGGGCCAGAGACACCGGCAAACCTGTCTCCCTAAGGACACAGGAGAACGCGAGACTCTGCTGGAAGCCAGAGTCACAGCTGGCCAGGCCCCACCTGGGGCCTCTCGGCAGTGGCCCCTCAGGGCAGCGATGTCACACTGCAGGTGAAGCGTCCACACCAGTCACCTTGCAGACTTGCTTGGCCGGTGCAGCCAGCTGCCCCTCTCCTGAGGCTGGGGCGTCCCTCTGGAGATGCCTCAGCTGAGCTCATAGGGCCAGTGGGTGGCCAGGCCAGGACGTGGGCTCAGGTGACCATCTTTGGGCTGTAGGCTCCTCCCTCCGTTCTGATAGTGGAGACGGAGACGCAGAGATGTTGAGCCATGGCGTTGAGGAGCTGCAAGGGAGCTTGCAGAGGGCGACTGCCTGGGTGTAGGGCGGCCAGAGCTGGGGAGGGTCTGGCCCAGGAGACAAGGCAGTGGGGATGGAGGCCCAGGCAGGACCAGTACTGTGGGGACTTTGGGAAGAAAGTGTGCTTGGCAGCCCCCCATGACGCGTGGGGCGAGTCTGGAGCTGCAGGACGGTGAAGGGGTGAGGGCACCCCTGGGACACCCTCCTGCCCTTTCTAGGGGCCTCCAGCCTTCCTGGCCCCCTTGAGAGGAAGCTCTCACTCTGCTTTACTAGGGAAACTGAGGCAGGAGTGTGGAGGTGCTTCATCCAAGTCAGCCTAATGGAGGTGCACCCAGACCTCTCCCCCTACCTGCACCCAAGTAGGGCCCCAAGACACCTGGTCTCCGGGCAGCCTCCCCTGAGGAGACCTTGGTCGGCTCAGGAGGCCCCCTGCACCGTGAGACCCACAGACCGGGGCTCCAGCTCTGTGACCAGGTGCCTCACTGTGCCGCCCTGAGTCCCGGCCCCTCCCTGGCAGAGCGGGGGTTGCTGTGCCCCTCCCTCACCGGGCCTTTCTGGGGATCAAAGTGCTTGCTGCGGGCATCGCACAGCAGGTGCTCAACCGAAGGCAGAAGGTGCTGCTGTGGGGACGCGGCCTCCGGGAGGAGCCAGACGTGCCGAGATGTGAGCCACTAAATTATCGACCTCGGTGAGTCAGGGCCCCTTTCTGAGCCTCAGTTTCCTCTGTAAAATGGGGCCAGCGATAGGTTCTTCAAAGTGTTGCTGTGAGCATTAACGGGGAGGCTATCTATAAAGTCTGCTCGCGGCAGACGCTCTGACAGAGTCAGCTCCTCCCTCCCTGGGCCTCGGAGCCTGCAGGGCCCTTGTAAAGTCCAGATGGGATGCAGGGTGACAGGGATGACTCACAGTTACGGCCCAGCCCTTTCATGTTCTGGAAACTGCCATTAGCTCCCAGCCCCTCAGGTTGGCTGCTGGGCTTCCCAGGTGGTTTATGGGGAGACCCGGCCCTTTGCCATTTGGCGTGCAGGTGGGGCTGAGGCTGTGGCTAGGCTCTATCTAGAGGGTGCATGGCTAGGTAGTCATTCACTTCTGGTCAGTCAGTCAGTCAGTCAGTCAATGGGTCAATCAACAAACACTCATCCTGCTGAGATTCCATGTGCTCCGTCCTGGGCCCTTGGGGAAACATAAGTGAATCAGAACTAGTCCCTGGCCTCAGGGGGCTAAGTCTGGGGGAGCCATGTGGAAAGAACATGTCAAGTGGAGGGACTGTAGAAGCCAGAGCAGTCATTTAGCCCCACCTGGGGGATCTGGGAGGGCTTCCTGGAGGTGGCAGATGATGCCCTATCTGAGTCCCGACTCTACCAGGGGAGGAGCAGGGAGCGGGCAGGTGTGTGTGGAGGAGAGCAGTGAGGACAGACAAGTGCATGGCTGGGCACCCTCTGGAGCTACAGGGGGCTTCATGTGGAAGCTGGAGCCCAGGGAGCTGGAAGGGGCAGGGTGAGGGGTTGGGGCAGGCCGAGGGGCTCATGTGCTGAGACTGGATCCTGAGAGCAGCAGGGGATCAGGGCGGGGCTTCGTGAAGGGAAACTACTGCCAGCTCTGTTTTAGAAAGCCCACACCCGCAGTGCACGGATCGGACGGGAGGAGAAAAACCGGAGGCTAGCGACCAGGGAAGAGGCTGACCCAGGTCACAGGCATGGGGACAGGGAAGAGGCTGAATGAGGCCGTGGTCATGGGGACGAGGCTAAGCATTTTCATCCAGGAGCAGAAAAGGGGTAGTTGGCCAGGGCTTGCAAGGAGGAGCTGGTGGGCAGTACCCAGGGGTCAGGCTGGGCTCCTCCAGACTGCCAGGTGCCCCCATTGCCCTGTGGTGAGATGGCACAAGGGGCGAGATGTTGAGAGCCCCTAATAGGATGCTCCCCGCGAGAGGATTTACTGTGGAGCCACTGAAGGGTCTGGCTTTGTACCTGGTGACACATCCTGCCTCGAGAGAGGACATCTCCGGGAGCGCTGAAAAGTGACAGGTGGGCGCCTGCCAAGACGGAAGGCAGAGGTCTGGGTTCTCAAGGCGTGGAACTGGGGTTTGGACCAAGTGTGACCAGAGCTCCTGGGCATGGTGGAGGACGGGGCATCTGCTGACCTCCGACTGATACTAATAAAATAACGGCTCCTGCTTTGGAAATACTTACTGTACTCCAGGCCCTGTGCCATGCGTTTTACTTCCATCATTTCGTTTAATCCTCATAACCGCCCCATAACAATAATAACCACCACAATAATAATAATAGCTAACACTTGTATTGTACTTACTAGGCCCCAGGGCTTCTTCTCAGCATTTTACATGTATTAGTTCATTTTTAATTTTCACAATTCTGCGAAGTAGACACGACTATCCCCATTTTACAGAGGAGGAAACTGAGGCACAGAAAAGCTATGTAACTTGTCTAAGTTTGCAGAGCTAGGAGCAAGGATGCGGATGGAGGGCTGTCTGACCCCCTACCTGAGCTCTGACTCCTTCCTCATCCTGCCTCTCACAGCGTCTTTGCTTGCTGAAGGCAGGGATGTCCAGGGTCAAAGCACAGGCAGTGGCATAAATGAGGGCAGCTGGAAGAAGAGGGAGGGATGGAGTGGGAGGGAGGGGTCTGCATCATTAGTGCTTTCTGAAGGGGAGCCACTGCGGGTGACATTGTGCCCCCCAGAGGAGCTGCAGTTCCCTGGGGCTCAGAGTGGGTGGGTCCCGGAGCCCCGGGATGGGTGGGGCTGGGGGGACTGAAGATCTAGGCTTTAGAAAAGGGAGGCAGAGTAAAGTGACTCGTTGGTGACACTCGTCACCAACTGACTCGGTGACAAGGAAGTGACAAACTTCTCTGTCCTCCCCCACAGTCCTCGTACCCCATGTGGCTCCGCACCCTTGGTGGCCTGATGAGATTCAGTGGACTCTTTGTGGGCCTCTTCTTCCGGCCCCTGTTGGCCACTCCCTTCTTCTTGCGTTGGCTCACTACAGCTGCTGTTAACCTACCCCTCGATCCCCCGCTCCGCCACCATATACCACCCCCAAAGCCAGCTTGGGGTCCGCGCTAACCCCCTGTGCAGACGACGCCCCCATCTTCATCCAGACCTCCGTCCTGAGCCAGGGCACTGCCCGCCTAAACCTCCCCGACATCTCCCCTGGGTTAAGAACGAGGTTAGAGCGTGGACCCACGACCCCGCCATCCTTGCAGAATTGGACTCCAGCTCTGACCTGCCCTTCTGGCCTTGTTTCGGATCCCTCTATGCGCTCCAAACTCTAGCCAAACCCAGCTGCTCCGTCCCTGCTACTTTCCCATCTCAGTGCCTTTGAACGTGATGTCCACTCAACCTGGGATACTCTCGCCACCCTCCTAGCTAGCCAGTGTCTGCTCACTCCAGCACCCTCTCCTTCAGGAAGCCTCCCCTGACCTCCCAGGCTGGGTGTGCTGCCTCCTCTGTGCTGACTGTAGCTCCTTGTGATTAACTGAAGAGGAGAGGCAGGTGGAGACACAGAGCACAGAGAAGAAAGATGGCTCCCAACGAGCCCTCACCCGGCGCTCCTGCCCCGGCGTTGTCCCCTCCGCTTATCTGGGCCAGCCCTATGATCTGTTCTTGAGGAACGTGATGGAAGTCGTGCCACAGCACTTCCAAGCCAAAGCCACAAGCAGCGTGTAAGAAACAAAGAGAAGTCAAACAACATGGAAGCGGTCAGACTACAGCCTACCCTGAGAGTGCCACGCTGTGGGGGGGGCACGGGCTGGCCACCGGAAGTGGCCACGTGGAGACAGGGAGAGATGTCCAGTGGCCCCCAGCTCTCACAGCCATCCCAGCTGAGGCACCAGATACATGAGGGAAGAAGCCATCTTGGATGCCCAACCCAGCTGAGCCTTCAGACGACTCCAGCCCAGCCACATGTGGCGGCAACTGCACAACAGACACCAAGAGAACTGCCCAGCTGAGCCCAGTCGAGCCACAAGACCACGAGCGGTAACAAAGAGCTGTGTTCTGGGCCATTAAGGCTGTGGCAGTTGGTTAGGCAGCAATAGAGAATTGAAACAGTCGGTAATTTAATGCCTACACAGCCCTCCGTGGGAGACATCATCGTCCCCATTCAACACATGGGGAAAAAAGCCCAGAGAGGGATGTGACCCGAGGAGGTTCACACGGCCAGCCAGAGGCAGCAGCGGGCTCGGAACTCAGGCGGGTCAGCCTGATCCCCCAGCCTCGGCTCTTTCCAGAGCACACGCCTGGCTGCCCGAGGAGACCAGACCTTGCAGCCAAACCACATGATTTTGGCCAAATTCTCTGTTTGAGAGGTTACTGGGGTTTTCCCCAGGTGGCTCACCTGGGCACCTGCTGGAACCCTGGCTCTTTTTTTTTTTTTAACTGAGACATGGTTCACACACAAATGCACAAATCGTTAAGTGCACAGTGTGGTAAATTTTTACATGGTATCCAGCCATGTGACCACCACGCAGATCAAGACATGGAACATTTCTGGCACTCCAGAAAGTTCCCTCGTGCCCACTGCTCGTCAATGTGCCCCGCCCCACCCAGAGCCGAGAGGTACCCACTGTTCTGATGCCTATCGCCACAGGAACAGCTCTGCCTGCTCTTGGACCTCATATAAATGGGATCGTGCAGTGTGTGCTCTTTTGTGGCCGGCTGCTTTGGCTCAACATTATGTCCAGAAGATTCATCACGTCACCCTCTCCGGTCTTCACCATCTTAGCCACAGCCCTGCGCGTCAGACAGCCCCGGCCGGGCCTGCAGCAGCTCAGAAATGGGGCCTGTTCCCAGCCCCACGTGTGGCCAGTATCAGCACAGCCAGCCAGCCGTGATGAGGCCTCCCAGCCCGGTGGGCCTGGAGTGGCCATGTCCACTGCCCCGACCCGACCCCCTGCCCAGGGCTGGACAGGACTTCTGGGTACAGCCTCAATATACGGCTGGGGCTGAAAGATACCCAAATTGACGGAGAAGCAGATTAAGGCTCAGAGAGGGGACGTGGCTTGCCCACGGTCAGCCAGGGGTGAAGTCTCAGCGCTGGTCCTCTTTCTAAGGCCTGGGCCCAGTGCCCGCCCAGGACTTGTCAGACTCTGAGGTGCACGTGGATCGCGGGGGCCGTGTTCAAGCGCAGCAGGCCGGCTGGGGCCCGGACCTGGTATTTCCAACAACTCCCCAGCTCGTGGCTGCCGCTGGTCTGCAAACTCCACATGGAGCTGCAAAGCCGTCGCCTGGCGGAGGAACTAGTCTCAACTCCACCCTCAGAAGCCCACAGGCCACCCCCGAGGAAGGGTGGAGCGCTGGCGGTGTGGCTGATGAAGCCGCTTAAGAAACCCCGACCTCCACGGCCCGCCCTGCCCCAGCCATCTAGGACACCAGAGCTGCCGGAACATTTTATTAAGTTAAGAAGGCTCATGGAGCAGAGGAGAGACACCTTCACGGGGTGGCTCCAGCGCTTCCACGCCCAGCACCTCCAGAGGAGGAGGTACGGCCTGGGGACAGCTGCTGGCTCCCTCTGTCCATCTGTCCCTCCGCCAGAGCCCCAGGGTGTGGGTCCCCCAGGGCAGGAAGTAGTTAGTGGGAGGTAGGGTGGCTGGCCCCCTGCCTCTCCCACAGAGTCCACCCTGCCATGGCCGCTGCTGGGCCCCCACCAGACCCCGGGCAGGGCCACAGGCCCAGAAGCCCAGGCAGGTGGCTGTAGACAGAGCCCAGGCCAGTGTGGAGGCACACGGCCACCAGGTACTGCTTTTTAAAAGGTATAAAGTGTTTTGGGGAAAAAATTCTATATAAAAATCTCTTCACATATAAAATCCTGAAGAAGGTGCAAGATAAGACCCAGTGCGAGGGGCGCGCTCAGATACGCAGAGTGTGTGTGTGTGTGTGCGCCTGTGTGTGTGTGTGTGTGTGTGTGTGTGTGTGTGTACGTGCGGCCCACAGAGGGTGGGGAGAAAGCTTGGCTTCTGACTTCCATCCAGTAGGGAAGGAGGGCGACTGGTCCCCTTGGGCGGGGGGTCTGCAGCGGGGCTGGACCACGAGGACCTGGAAGACAAGAGCAGGGGAGCTGAGGGCTGGGGAAGCCCCAGCCTTGGCCCTGGCCCCTGGCTTGGGCCAGGCAAGGGTGGCCAGTAGGTCCTTCCAATGCCTCTCAGCCCAAAGGCCAGATCTGCTCCTCTGGGCTTCTCCCCAAGCTTGGCCCACAGGGTGGCCTCTCCTACATGCCTTAGGAAGTCCACAAGGACTTGTCACGAAGAGGAAGCTCCAGGCAGATGCGGCGTTAGGGAAAGCACCATAAAAATTTTCCAGACCCTGCTAACTCAAGGGTGACCCTGAGACTAAGGCGGGCAGAGGGCCGGCCTCCATCAGGCTGCGGGGGTGCAGCTGGGCGGAAGGCATTCTGTGAGGATCAGGCACCCGGGTCTGACGGCTGGGGGTGGAGAGGACGCGGGAGCCTGGGCAGATCAGCCAGGGGCGCTGTCAGCCCTGGGCAGGGGCGGGGCCTCATCAGGCTGCGGGGGTGGCGCTGTGTTAAGAGCACCCGCTGTCACAAGGGGAGACACAGCAACAACCAGATCCTGAACCGCACTTCCCACCCATGAAGGAACGTGCTCAAGTTTACAAAATGTACCCTGACTGATCCCCACGACAACCCCATGTTTGCTGGTGTCACTGAGCCCATTTCAGAGAAAGAAACAGAGGCCAGGAGAAGGAAGTGTCCTGGCCCGAGTGGCACAGTGAGTCAGGTGAGGATGAGCCTGGAGCTCACACCTCCAGGCCCGGTGCCCCGCCCGGCCTCACCCCTGCCCACCCCTGGTAGCCACCCCGTGGCACCTACCTCTACTCGGCCAGGCTGTTGCGCACAGCCTCCTTTTCCTGCAAGGCAGCCATGGCGAGGCGCAGGTGCTCCTTCAGCTGCTCGATCTCCCGCTCTGACCGTGTCTTGATGTGGTTCAGCTCCACGTACACGTCCTGGTACTTTCCCGAGGTGAAGCGCTTGTCCTGGGGGCCAGGGGGGCTGTGAGGGCAGAAGCCCTCCCTGCCTGGCCCTGTGCCGAGGCTGGACAGCAGCCCTGCCCACCTGGCACAGGCCCACCACGCTCCCTCCCAGCCAGCACAATGCAGCCAGGCCCCTCCACAGCCCCCTGGGCCTTGTCCCTCCAGGTGCCCCCCGGGGCGGCCCCCACCCCGGGCCTCCCCTCCCAGCACCCCCCAGTGACACAGGTGTGGGCATCATTTTCATCCCGCTCGAGATGAGAGCAGAGCCTCAGGGAGGTGACGCTGTTGCCCAAGGCCACACGGCCAGGAGGGGCTGGGATGAGACCCAGCTTAGCCTGGCCCAGGGCCAGGGCCTTTTCCATGAGTCTGGCTCACACGCTCATAGAGCCACCAGCACACAGAGGGTGTCAAAGGCACAGGGACATGGCACCAAGCTGTCACCGACGGGCCACAGACGCACAGAGCTGAGCCTGAAACGCCCGGCCCTCCCAATGGCGGGGCCCGCAGCCCATTCCTCACGGAGCAGACGCTCCGCACAGGCAGGCTGCCTGTCCCGTCCTGGGCTCTCTCCCAGCACCTCGCCCAGTGCCTGACACACAGGAGGCACTCCGGGAATATTTGCTGGTAAACGAAAGCAAGTGCGGCCTCGGGCAAGGCCCCTTCCTTTTCTTAGCCTCAGTTTCTCTGTCTGTAAGTGGGGATAATGACACCTCTGTGGGAGAGGCTGGGCAGAGCCAGATGAGAGGAGGAGGGGGGAGTGGCCAGCACAGAGCAGGTGCTCACAGGACGGGCATTCAGGTAGATCAGAGGTTCCCCCGCCCTGCGGACCCCCGCCCGGCCAGCGGGCCCTACCTTCTGCATCATCTGGAGCTCGTCCCGGAGGCATTGCACCTCCTTCTTCAGGTACTGAAGTTCGTTCTCCTTCACTCGCAGCAGCACCTGGGGTCATGGGTGCCAGGCTGACCAAAGGCCAGAGGCCAAGGCTACCCTGACCCACAGCACCCTGCTGCCTGGCTTCTCCTTGCTTCAGGCCCCAAGAGTGCAGCTCCCAACCTGCACCAAGACCCGCTCCACCTCAGGGGCAGACTCCTCCAGGAAGCCCTCTCTGATTTCTCCTCGCTCCCTCATCTCTGTCCACACCATGTGAGTGGGTATCTTATGGTCACCTCAGCTGTGGCCCCAACACAGTACCAGGCCCTCAACTTGAGGGCAAAGAGGACGAAAAGAAGCCACAGTGTGATGCTACTGTGAACCAGAGAGGGCTGGGCCTCCCTGCGGGCCCTCCTTAACCCCTTGCGAAACCCTGAGGGCCAGGTGTTGCTATGCTGACCTGACCAAGGAGGAGACAGGCTCGGCCTGTTAGGAAGATTCAACCAACTAACCGTACACAGGGCTTACAGAACTGCCAGGCACAGAGGAAAGCTGCATATAAACTTTAGTTAAATAAAACAAAGACTCAGGTGATCCTGGGATCACACACACATTTTCTCACTCCAGGTTCTCCAGGTAAGGGAGGTGCTAGCATCATTTTATAGATGAGCTACTGGGGCTCAGAAAGGTGAGGTGACTTGTCATGGTCACACAGCAGGGAGGTGGCAGGACGCAGACGGGAAGGCTGGGCTCTGGCTGCAGGGCTTCCGCCCCACCCAGTAGTGCTGGGCACACACAGGTGTCCTTCCTAACTGCGGGTGCCTTTCCTCACTGGGGCCTAGCCCCTCGGAGCCACAGTGCTCCCGCTGCAGGGCACACCCAGCCTGTCGGGTTGCCAGCCCCAGGCCCCAAGCCGGCCGGGTGGCCTGGCAGGAGGGGCGGGCGCTCACCTCCAGCTCACAGGAGCTCCGCTCGCTGCCGCGCCCACAGCCACTGCCTGTGCCCTGCGAGGCGATGAAGCCGCGCAGCCGGTCGATCTCCTCTGACAGGCGGGTGTGCAGCTCCTGGGAGGGGTGGGGTGGTCAGTGCAGGGAGGCTGGACCGCCCATTCCCCTCCCCACCCCCACCGGGACCGGGATTGCCCATCCCCAACCCCCTACCCCGACTGCCCATGCGCCACCCCCACCAGGGGCCAGGACTGCCCACGCCCCAAGCCCCAACACACCGTCCACCCCCGGAGCGGGCCCACCTGGTTGTGGCGCAGCAGCTCCTGGCCCTCCTGCTGGCAGCGCCGCAGCGTGTGCTCACGCTCCTCCGCCTGCCGCGTCAGGGCCCCGATCTCCAGGCACTTCTGCGAGTACTGCTCCGACAGCACCTGCAGCTCCCGCTTCAGCGCCTCCACGTCTGACCTGCCGGGGCGGAGCAGGGCCAGGATGGCTGGGCTCTCCCGCCCTCCACCAAGCCCGGAGTCGGGTCATGGCAGCCTCTAAACAGCTCAGGACTCCTGGGTTCCCGCCCTCCTTCTGCCTTCAGCCCACTGTGGGGCTGTGAACTGCTGACAGCCTCTCTGGGCTGCACGAGCTCCTCTGTGAGAGGCTGGGTTGGAGGAGCCCATCTCCAAGGCCCCCACAGCCCCACTGTTCCAGATCTGTGCTCGGGGTGGGAAGGGACACCTACTGGCCAAGGGTGATACTGCAGCCCAGCTCTAGGGGACACTAAAGAGGAGAAGAGGAGTGTGGATGCTGAGTCTGGGTAGACAAGAAGGGGCCTAAAGAACTGTCTATGTGGACTGGCCTGGGGGTCTGGCTGAGGCCCTGCTGCTTCTGTACCCTGTGCCACGTGACTGCAGGAGGAGTCTCAGCTGGGGGCAAACTGACGTGTCCTCTGCCAAGAGGTTTCAGCACAGGTCCCGACTTATAACCACCAGGGTGGACAGGTTGGGCCCCTGGCTCAGATGGAGGCCCAGCCTACAGACCCCAGGGCCAGGTGCCCATCTTACTGGTGCTGCTTCCGGAGGCCGTCCGGGCCCTGCTGGAGACTCCGTGTCTTGCTCAGCTCCCGGCTCAGCTCCTCCTGGTAGGCCTTTTTCATGGCTTCGATGGCTGGAAGCAGGCAGAGAGGTTCAGGGGAGACGGAAGTGGGGTCAGGAGCACCAAGCTCCACCTCCCCTGAGACTCCACATGGACCATGGAGATAGGAGCAGGGAGTGGTATGCAAAGAGCACTGGACCAGGCTGTGTCTTAAACTGAGTGGCTTTGGGTAAGTTGCTTAACCTCTCTGAGCTTGTCTATCAAGGGAGGATAACAAGCCTGGTCTGATGGACCCCACTGGGGAGACACCTCAGTGTCTGACCACTGGTACCTCTTGTTAGTGATTTCTGGGTAAGACCCCACACGGCCCTCCGTGCAGAACCTGGAGGTTCTTTAACAAGGTACATCTGCCTTGCCCAGCCTAGTGACCAAGAGTGCAGACTCTGCAGTTGGTACAAATCTGTGTGACTTTGAACAGGGGGCTTAACCCCTCTGTGCCCCAGGTTCCTTATCTGGAAAACAGGGATAACAGCACCTCTGTCATGGGTTATTGGAAGATGTGTCCAGGGCATTTAGAACAATGCATGGCACAGAGGAAACGCCTGGACGTTAGCTCTCACTGGTTTATTTTTCAGACTGTGAGCTCCCAAGGACCGAGTCTTTTCACGCTCACATGAGGTTGTTGTGAGGATTAAACAATCCTCATCCACAGTCTTATCCATAATTCCCAAATCCAAAAGCTCCAAACACTGAAAGTTTTTCATAAGTCTTTTGGTGGCAATCCCCAACCTGAACGAACACAAAGCTATTTGTGGTCATTATTATCCCACTTAAGTGTGACTTTGAGAAATTTCACTGCAAAAACCTTGGTGCTAGATTTCAGGGTGAAGCCCAGACCCTGCTGGGATGGGGGGATATCTAATAAACGCACTGGGCTATCTTCCTAAAATGCAAAACACACAGGCCCCCAGGGTGCGGGATGAAGGGCCATGGGCTTGAGTGTGTGAAGCCCTTGGCAGGTGGCAAGTTCTAGATCATGTGACCTCTTTCATCATTTCCATTATTCTGCCAACCCCACGGCGCACCCCTAGGATGTGCCAGGCACACACAGCAGTGACAGAGCTTGAGCATTCCTGTTTCTGGCTTGGGAGAGCAGAGGGCAGGCTTCAGAGCATGGTTTTGCAATCGGAGTGCCCTGGGCTCCGACTCCAGCTTCTGCCACCTTCAAGCTATGCCCATGCGGGCATATGGGCATATGGGACAAGTCACGAACCTCTCTGAGCCCCCGTTTCCTCATTTGTGAAATGGGGTCACTCCCTTAGGCACTGCAAGGACTGGGTTATGTCACATGGGTGCTGAGGCTCAGTAAACACCCCCCCCAGCCCCGAGTCCAGCCTGTGTGCCCAGTGAGGCTGTGGCCCTCCTGTGAGGACAGGTCTGTGGCTGAGCAGTCCCTCCCCAGCACACTTATGGGCCTGGGCGTGGAGCTGGAGATGGTGTATGTTGGGGGCTTGAGGTGGACCTCCCAGTGGCCACAGGCCCCTGAGGGTGAGGAGTCACAACCCATTCTGGGAGGGGGGGGTTTTACTGCCTCAGTTTCCCCTTTTCAAGTAGGGTCAGAGGCCGAGTTTTGGGGGCTTCCAACCCCTCCTGACCCTTTAACCCAAGTTTGGCACTGAACCTGCACCTCTTATTTAAAGGCCTCCTGAGTCCAGTTAGGAGAAGCCTCAGCCTGGAGGCTTGTGAGGCCCAGCCCCCCGTGCTGCTCCTGCCTGGGGTCCTCACCTGAGGCTGTGGCTGCCGTCTCCTCGGCCAGGAGCCACTCCTTCTCCTGCTGCAGCCGCCGCAGCTCGCGCTCATGGTGCCGCTGCAGCTCCTCCATCGCCTGCTGGTGCGAGGACTCCATCTCGGCCAGGCTGCGCTCACACGCCTCCTGCGGGTTGGAGGCCGGGAGGTCATGGGGCTGCCCTGACTGCCAGGAGAGCGGCTCTCTCCCAGCCTGGGGCAAAAGGCCTCAGGGGAAATCCTGCCCTGGTCCGGGCTTCAGCCCTCTCCCTGGACCCTGGCACCACCAGCCTGCACCTGCCCCCGAGCCGCAAACGTCACCCTGTCACTTACCAGCTTCAGCCCTTCCAAGGCTCCCAATCCTATAGGGTCAAGTCCCTGCTCCTGGGTCTGACCCTTGTGGCCTCATCCCTGGCCCTTCCCCCAAGAAACCCCATCGTTATGAAAACAGTTCATGGCAGGTTCACGCCTCTGAGCCTTAGCTCATGCTATTCCCACTGCTGGGAACATTCTTTGGCAACTTCCTCTTCCCAGGTCGTTCACTTGGCCTGCAGCCCAGCTCAAACGTCCTCCTAGCTCTGTCTCTGGGCAGCCTGTCTCCTGCCTCAAGAGGCTCTGCTTCGGTCAGGACGTAAGTTTCCTGAAGACGGGGAAGGTCTGACCTAGCTTGGAGTCAAGCCAGCACCTGACTGTGGCAGGTGCTGAGTGAGTGAGATGACATCACAAAATGGGGCCGTGTCGAAAAGACTGGCAAGTACTTAAAAGACAGATAATACCCACTGCTGGGAGAGTCAACTGTGGCGGGGTGCATGGAGGGCAGTCTGGTGGCATCGTCACAGTTTTAATGACCCCATCCCTTGACCTGACAGGTCCACTCCTAGGAATGACCCCATAGAAAGTCACATGTGTGCAAAGACTCTTGGACAAAGGTATTCCCTATGGCAACATCGGTAACAGATGAAAACTGGAAACAATCTAATGCCTAAGAGGGGAGCCTTTAAATAAATGATGGGATCGCGCCTTACAAAGGACCAGGCAGCTGTTCAAAGACAGAGCCACCTGCGTGGGCGGCTGCGGAAAGCTGTCCCGAAAGTTAGGTGATGAAACCTGGCTTCTGAGAACACGCGCTCACGGAAACGAAGCACGCGGAGCCGTCCAGCCGAGAACATGAACGTGAACGCAGAGGAAGAGGAGGATGCGTGGGAGGAAGAGTAGTGGCCCCCCGAAGATGTCCACGTCCTACTCCCCAGAACCTGCATTACCTCACACGGCAGGGGGATTCGAGGCTGATAATCAGCTGACCTTAAAACAGGGAGACTATCCTGGGTTGTCCACGGGGCCCCATGTCATTGCAGGGTGCTTAGATGTGGAAAAGGAGGCAGGAGAGCAGAGCAAGAGGGAGAAGTGAGCATGGAAGATCAGCGTGACGGGAACAAGGAGGACTTCACTCTCCTTCACAGGCTTTGAGGACGAAGGAAGGGGCCACGAGCCAGGGAATGCGGGTGGCCACCGGACGCTGGACAAGGCGAGGAGAGGGATCCTACCTAGAAAGGAACCTGCAGGTACCTGGATTTTAGCCCGGCGAGACCCACGTTAGACTGCTTGCGGCTCTACAGACTGTGAGGTGACAGATGTGTATTATTTGTGTTTGTGGTAATCCGTGACAGCAACAGGAAACTATACAAATGGGCTCGAACGGTCACTGAGGTGACCCCTGGGGCAGGAGCAGGCAGGGCAAGGAGAGTTCACATGTTTATTTCCAACCGTTTGATTTGTTAGAATTATTTTTGAAAATGTAAACATATTTCTTATGTAATCTAATATCATTAAAAAGAGAAAGGGAAGAGTCAGGGAAGAAACTGAGGCACAGAGAGCCAGATAAGAGACTGCATTCTCCCCCATGCCACAGGGCACCTCCTGGTGAGTGCGGACTGGCCTCTACCTCCCGAGCAGCCACCCCAGAAGGGCAAGGGCCTGGCCTCCCGGGTCCAGTGTTATGAGTGGTGGTGAAGTCTATCTGTCCCGCTGGCCTCTGCACCTGTCCTCTGTGTGTCCCCAGTTAGGACAACAGAACCTGGCTTTGGAGCCCCACAGACCAGGTCCTAGTGCTGGCTGTGCCATGCGGTGAACTTGAACAAGCCCTTTCCCCTCTCTGAGCCTGTCTCCTCACCTGTAACACAGGCCCCAGAAAACCAACTCACGAGGGTCCCTAAGGAAAGCCAGCACCCAACTGTGGAGACCACCCACCTGTAGAGACTGGAGCAATACGGGGGGGTGGGGACTGGTGCTCTTAAAGGGCCAGATCAGGCAGGCAGACCCAGCAGCTAATAGGGTGTCTGGAGGCTGATGTCAGGAGGTGGGAACCAGCCCATGAGGAGGGGTCCTAGAAGGCCAGGTGCTTCTCTGACCTACCTTCCTGAGGGCCCAGGGTGTTGGCTGCCACCGCTGACATGCATCAGAGTACAGATCCATGGCCCACGGCCCCCACTGCAATAGGCTGGAAGGCTCCCTTTGCCAGAGGAGGCACTAAAGCCGCAGTGGGTGAAGCCCACACCCTGCAGCTGCTGTCCCGTGGTGGCAAACCCCGCCAGCTGGAGGAGGGGCACCCACTCAGCCTGAGCTCCCAGGCTGGGGAATCCGTCCCCACCTGTCACCTGTCCTGGGCCCACTGAATTGCCTCCAGTGCCCGAGGGGACACAGATGGCTCAGCTCCTCTTCTCTGGGGCCTCCGCACCGGGGCCTCCTCCACCCCCGTCTCAGGCTGTCTCCTCATCATTCCCTTCTCTCCTCCCATCCCCAGATTCCGCCTGCTCCCCCTGCCCATCCCAGCCTAACGATGAAATGCTGATGGCCCTTGGAGTGCCCAGTGGGGCGCCTGGGCCCAGGAAGCCTGGACTGCAGACACAGGCCTGCCTCCAGCTTGAAGAACTCGCCGCATCTCTGGGTCTCAGTTTCCCCAGCTGCGAGCTGAGAGGTCAGAGCAGTGCTTTTCAAGTTTCATTTTAGTGATGGAAACCCTTTTCCAAAGGAAATCTAACGCAGGTGCTAATAGTAAAACGGACAAAGATGGAGATGCTCCAATTGCTGGTGGGAGTGAAGGGATCCATCTAGAAAGGCAGCCCCTGGGGCCTCCACAGAGCATGCTGGAAGCCCTCCGGGTGGGGGTCTCTGAGGTGGTCCCAGATGCCTCAAGCTGTGGTGTTGGGCCCCACCCTTCCTGGAGATGCCCCACCCACCCCTTCCTCTGGCATCAAGGGAGGCTTTGACAATAGCCTCCCTCCCCCCTTCCCCTCCCCATGTCAGGGGACCCCAAGCTCGCCCTCCACATCAGGCCCCATCTTCCCTTGGCCCGGGTCTCCCTTCTGCTGAAGGTCCCATCAACTTCTCAGCCCCAGACAGCCCCCTGGCCACGCACAGCAGCCCAAGCCCCAGGGCGCCCGGGGCTCCCCCTGGCTTCCTCGGGCCCAGTCACCCAGTCCCAAGCTCTCCTCCGTCCATGTACCCTCCTGCATCCCTCTCTCCTTCAGCCATTGTCCTTGCTCCTGACGTGGGCCTTGCCCCCTCCCAATCCCCCCCCACCCAACACCACCTTCCCGAGGTCACTGTCAGACCCAAACCTCCTCAGGTCTGCGGAATGAGACCCCAGCCCCCTGGCTTGGCACTGGAGGTGTCCACCATAGGCACCCATTGGCCTTCCACCTCCTGCCACAGCCCATGCTCCCCGCCCACCAGGGCTCAGCTGCTCAGCGCTCGCCCCCAGGAAGCCTTCCTGAGAGCCCTGCACCGCGACCTCCCTCCTCAGAGCTTCTAGAAGGTCCTCCTAACCAGAGCCTGGGATCCCAGCATTCCTTTCCGCTTCAGGCAATGCTGTGCTGACTGGAGGCAGCTAATTTTCAAATCTTTAGGAATGTTGTGATGCAGTTGCTAAGCACAACCATTATGAAAAATTAAATTATAGAAACTTTAAATTACAATAAAAACAAAGCAATTACTCAAAATTCATCACTTCCTGATTATTTCACTGCATTTTATCATCGTCTGTGCTCTCGAGGTTATTTACGTCTGTGTCTGTAGGGTGGGGATGCTCTATAACAGCGTGCACGTATCTTCCCAACTCCGTGTTCAGGGCCATCTGCCACCGTGGGGCATTTACGCATGGAAGCTGGTAGACATTACAGATCGGGGCTGGGTTTATGGTCTTGTTGATTGCCCAGACTTAAGCGAGTGAGGAGACGATGCTAACAATGCAGATTAAACTAAAAGTGTGCCGTATCTATGACCATCACATTGTCAACGGAACAAGAACCTGACACAATATTGACATTGACCAAGTAAAGCTTTGACATACGTCTTCTCATCTTACTCATTAACATAAACAAAAATGTCAACCAACGTTCACGTTAGAACGACACTCGTTTGTCAGTTAGCTGTGGGTACAAGCACTCGGAACAAACAGTCAAAGTATTCTGAGAAAAATCAGTTTGCTAAATGGAATTCACAATAAAACGTATTATGTATTTTTTATTTGTAAGTTGTGTACTAAACATCCTTTGTAGCAGTAAAATTGATAATGAACATATCTAAGTGTGGATGTATATACACACACGTATTTTTCCGTCACAAGTGTTTCCAGACGTGACCAAACGTCCCCAGGGGAACAGAATGAGCCCTGGCTGAGCGCGGCTGTCCTAGCAGCCTGTGCATCCCCCGAGGGCCGTGGAGACTCCCACGGCCCACAGACCGCCTTGGGCAGGGCCTCGGCCTGGCAGGCACAGGCAGGATTTGCCTATTTAGGCGGCAACCCCCAGGGCCTGCCCCTTGGAGCTCCCCCTCTCCCCTGGCTCCCCACTTCCCCAGGGTGGTGCAGGAGAAGGGGTCCGAGTGCACAGGGTCGCCTGGGGGCTCACACAGGGCTCTCAGTCAGCGGACCCAGGCTCAAATCCCACCTCTGACATCTCCAGGCCGGGAGACCTCGGGCAAGTCACATAACCTCTCACAGCTCAGTGGCCTTGTCTGTAAAATGGCACAGTGATCATGTCCACCCACTGGCGAGATTCAGCGGATGACGCATGTCATAGGCCTCACACGGGTCCAGGTACACAGGAAGGGCTCCCAAAAAGTTAGCTGTTTTCTGGAAACTTAGCAACCAGAAACCTGCCCCCATCCCCCACGAAACAGCTCCCCAGCCTCACCTGTGAGATGTAGCCTGGGGGGACGTGCCCTTCCTCCTGGGATCTGGGTGCACCCTGAGGGGCCTCCCCTTGTAGACGCCACACCTCCAGCTGGGCACGTAGAGACTGGACCTGAGAGGGGAGGAGCTGAGGTCAGTGGGGGCCTGGAAGTGGGGAGCGGGCTGGTGGGAGGCAGTGAGGAGCCGTGGGTCAGAGAAGGGGAAGTGGCCCTGGTCTGGAGATGTGGGCAAAGGGGATGTTCCAGCTGCTTCCTGGATGGCCAGGTCAGTGACCCAGGAGAGCTCTGTCCCAGAGAAGACCAGAGAGGGTTTGGAGACGGACACCGTGGTCACAGATATTTACCACATTATGGAGGTGGCAGGGGAAACGTCTTTGAGCCTCAGTTTCCCATCAGTAAAAGCATGATGAGGTCTACTCTGCGGGGCCACGAGACTGCTGTGAGGATTACATGAGCCAATGTGGGCAAAGCGGGCCTAGGACAAGGCTTGGTATGCAGAAGGGGCTCAATAAATGGTCTCTCCCTTCTCTTCCCGCTTCCTTTCTCTGTGGTTGCTGAGGACAGAACTAAGAAGGAAAACAAAAAAACAAAAAAAACCCACGGTCCAGGGAAGGAAAATTTCCAGTTTCACAAGGAGTCTGAAGGTGCCCAGCCAGTGCATCTTGGGGTGAGCTCCCCCATCACTGTAAGGTATGCAAGATAAAATGGCACAGTGTGACTGCAGGGACAGGAGGGGTGTTGGTGGGGTGAGGGGCTCCCAGAGGCCAGCCGTGATGCCTACCTCCTTCTCCAGTGCCTCGTGGCTGTCACTCGGGGGCCCCCGGCGCTCCCCACGGCTTTGGTTCAGCAGGGCAGTCAGAGGCACCCGCTTGTTCTCCCGCAGGGGCAGCTTCTCCAGCTCCTGCCACTTCTTCTCGATCTCCTCGCTGAGCCGGCTCTGCTGGTCCTCAGTCAAAGGGGCGCCCAGGCCGCGGCGCGGCGCCTCACCGGCCGGTGTCTCTGTTGCCCTGCTGTCTGTGGCCTCGAACCACTTGCGTCGCTCCTCGGAGCGCTGAGCAAGGTCCCGCTCCAGCTCCTCCTGCTTGGCTGGACGGTCAAGAGTGCGGGCCGGGGTACGGGCCCGCTGCGGGGAGCCCTGCGTCAGCGGGGAGAGCTCCACATAGTCCAGGGATGGCCGCTGCCCATCTGCCTTCCGCAGGCCGCCGCCCCGGCTGATGACCTCGGAGCCCACGCGCGGCTCCCCCGCCTTCAGGGAGCCCTTCTGGGTGCCATGGCCATGCAGCGTGTTCTCCTTATTGCTGTCCGAGAGCCTAGGGCGGCAGCAGAGCCATATCAGGTGGGACCTTCCCCACTCAGGCCCAAACAAGCACTTCTGGAGTACCACCCAAGGGCCACGGCCTGGGGATGGACCCCAGGGGAGGAAGCAGCCCCACCTGGAGGTCAGAACTAGATCTTCATCGTTAACAGCCCCGGGAACCATCCCAGCTCCACCACTTACCAGCAGAGGGGACCAGGCCATCTGGCTTCCCTCTCTGAGCCTCAGTCACCTCATCTGTCATATGGACAGTGCCTCTCACAGGAGGGATGAGGACCGGGGGAGCCAATGCATGCAAAGTAACCAGGAAGCCCTTTGCAAATGGCGACCAAAGCGTTATTACTAGAAGTACACGTGAGGCAGGGTCCTGGGCTCCCAGGGAACAGGGGGGATGCCCGTGGTCACTGCCGAGGCTGAGGTGAACAGTGACCTCTGGGTGCAGAAAGCAGAGATGGTGGAGACTGAATAAGGTGGCAGCTCTCCTCTTCTTCCACAGCAGTAGCTGGGCACATGGTCGCCCAGCCCAAAACTACACTTCCCAGCATCCCCGGCAGCCACATGTGGCCACGTGACCACATTCTGCCCAGTGGGTGTGAGAGGACTGGGCGTGCCCTGGCCTGGCAACCTACAGTCCTCTGGCCCAGGGGCAGAGCTGTGAGCTGAGGGCCGCAGAGCTGTCCAGGCAGGTCTGGACTATCTACCTCTGGACTGTTCTGGAGAGAGAAATAAACTCTCCCTCGTTGAAGCCACTGTGTTTGGCTATAAACTGAATAGTCCAGCTGTACAGTCCTTCAGAGTTGACAAAGGGCCTCCGTGCACGTCCTCACATGACACTCGGCGTGACAGATCCTCAGCATGACAGATGAGGAATCTGAGACTCGACAAGAAAGCGACTGGCCTTGTTGAACAGCCAGGTGTGGCCAGGCGGGGGGACTCGCACTTCCGTTCCTGCTGCCCAAGAGCCACCAATGCAAGCCCCCTGTGGGCGGCCGGGGTTTATACTTTGGGGGCCTCTACCACCAGGTAACTCAGCCCTCCTGCCCCTCTACCCACAGCGACCTCCAGAGGGAGTGAGCTCCCACCAAGACCACCCAGCCATCCCTTCTCCCTACCACAGCCTTAGCCCCCACTGCACAGAGACAGCCACCCACCCAGCAGGGCCCTCTGACTCGCCAGCATCTTCTCCAAAGGGCCGAGGCTCTCCCCACCCTCTGAGGATGCAGGGGATATAAAGCGACGGCAGTCAAACCTCAAATCCTCAATGCGCTTCTGGATGACTCAAGAAGGCTCACTGCCCTCTCCCCAGTTTGTTGACAGAAAAACTGAGGCCCAGAAGGTACAGCCACAGGGCCCTCAGGTGAGTGCCAGAATTCCACTCAGGGATGCAGGGTAAGTGCCTCCCCCAGGCCCCTGTCCAGCCCAGCACGTACTTGGTGACGTCTGGGGCTGAGGTTGGGCGCACGGTCTTCCTCAGAGCTTCGATCCAGTTCCTCCGGATGCCCGAGGTCATGGCCGACAAGGTATAGACAGCATCCTTAGTCTGCAAGTCCACCCCACAGGCAGGTTGCCACCTGGCCAGCCTCATCACTTCGTCCCCACTGTGGACCCCGGGGAGGGGGGCCCTTCCCTCCCAGGAGGGTGTCTAAGGTCTCAAACCTGGAGGCGAGCAGAGGGGCACAACCTCCCTCCTCCAGCCTCAGAGGAGCCCGGCTGCTCCAGTGTCCCCAACATTCAAACCACCCCCGCCAGTGACGCCAGGATCTCCCTGGATGTGCTAAGTGTCGGCAGCAGGGCTGCTGCCTGGCTCTGAGGACGGTCTCTAAATAAATGAGTGACAGGAGCCAGTCTCTGACGGTGAGCCACACTCCACACCAGCCCCTTCTCTGGGGGCCCTCCAGTCGCCCGCCCCCCACCGCAGCAGCCTCACGTGGATCTGGAAGCCGTAGTTTCGCTGCACCGCGAATTCAGTGACATCCGTGCAGGAGCGCAGGTCGATCTCGCCATCCAGCTCGTCCGCCTGCAGCAGGAAGGCCCGCAATGATCCATGCTCTCCGCTGATCCCGCTTGAGCCCCCCAAGCTTCTCCCGGGGGCCCCCCAGCAACTGACGGGGGAGGAGCCCTCTCACTTCGTCTCACCTCCTCTTGCGGTGGAGTCCCTGTAGTACTTGAGGCTTGAATCGGTCAACACGAACCAGTGCTTCTTCCACTGGAGAGGAGACGGGGCGGTGAGCGGGGGGTCGTGTGTGGGGAGGGCGAAATGAACGGGTGTCCTGGGCGCTGCCAGGTCAGCCATCCTGCTCACTGTAGGGCCTGGCACCCTCATGGCCCTGCTGAGGGGTGGGGGGCAGACCACAGCACAGAGCCAGAAAATCCACATTGGCAGTCAGCCCCCTATTTCTTCTCTGAGCCTCGGGGGCGGGGTCTGTGAAATGGGTTGGGTCAGTTTCTCCCGGCCCTGCTCTGATTTGGTGACCCTTCCATTCCCCTCCTGATCCTTTCCACCAAGATTGCCAAGGCTCCTACCAGCAGATCCCCCCAGTGCAGACCAGGAAGGGGCTGTGACCTGTGAAAGGTCATTCGCCTAGCAAGTCAGGGACACAAGTCTTTCCATGTGCCCCTCTGGATCGCTTCGGAGGCGAAGGACAAGTCCCCCAGTGAGTAGGATGGAAGGTGGCGTGGGGGAGGAGTCTGAGTGCTGGTCGGATTCTGTTTCTTGATCTGGGTGCTGGTTACGCGCCGTGCTCAGCTTGTGAGAATGCGTTACCCGTACACGCAGGGTTGGGCACCCTTCTGTGGTCTCTCTCTGCTCCAGCGGGGTGAGGCTGGCAGGACACGCAGGAGAGGGACGGGGGCACCAGAATAGCCTGACATGAAACATGCCAAACTCATCCCACCTCTGGGCTTCTGGCCATTCACTGGAATGCCAGTTGAGGTCCACCCACTGCCAGGGTCAGGACATGCCACCCAGTCCCCAGCCCTCCTGGGGCTCCCTCACATCACTGAGCCCTATCCACACTGTTTGTTATTTCAAGTACTTAGTTTTCTTTCCTCAAAAAGATGGGAAGTTTTCAAGGAAGGGTCAGGATGACGCTTTCTACTTCCTTCCACACTGCCCCTCCTAAGAAACAGGGTTTTAACATCCAACAGATCTAGGTTACAACTATTGTATCCCTTGCTAGCTGTGTGTCTTTAGTCAAGAGTCTCGACCTCTCTGAGCTTCAGTCTTCTGACTTGTAAAGTTGGGCCAATAAGGAGTCCCTAAGCCTTCTCATGAGGTCAGAAGTTCTGAACCCTCCCTTGTAAGTCTCTCACGGCACTTGGCATGGGCACAGGCACTGGGTTGTTGGGGACTGTTCTTCAAGGCTGGCCCTCTCAGAACCACCCTGCTCTCACTGAGGGGCCCAAGTGGCTTCTCAGGACCTCAACTGTCCCTCTATAAAGTGGGGCAGGGCTTCTATGCCAAATGACTTCTTTGGCCCTTCCAGGCCTAGTCTAGGACTGTCTGAGATGAGAGCTGGACCGAGCCCCGTGGGCATCAGGTGCCCCTAGTTCTGCGCCTGGAAGAGATTGAAGCCCTCATGGGCCTGTCCCCTGTCTGTGCACAGGGGCTGGGCTGGCTGAACTCCCAGAGCCCTTCCAGCTCCGACATTCCAAAACCCTGTAAGAGAATGAGTAACGGCCAGTTCTGGGTGGGGCCCATAATCTCTGCCCTTCGGAGACCCTGCAGGGGAGAGGGGGGTCACTGGCCGGGTGCCAGGCCTTGTGTGAGCCTGGAGCGCAGCCACCAGAGGACAGGCGAGCAGGCTTCGGGATGGAAAGCCGTGGGCTGGAGGGAATAAAGCATGTGGGTAGGAAACACAATGAGATTCCCTTTGGCTCTGAGCCCTCCCCGGCATGTGGCCTGCACGCAGACCAAGCTGCAGGCGCATGCAGGACAGGGGCCGGGAGACGTCCCCTCCCCAGTGGGGTGGGCAGGAAGCCAGCTCCAGCCTGGCAGCTGAAAGGGCAGAGGCAGTGAAAGGCCACCGTCCCTTCTGGTCCTAAGGATGGACACATTAGAGAAAGGGCAGTGTTATTAGCTGAGGCCCTAGCAGGCATGGGGGCTGTGTGGGACCCTTTACGTGCTTGACCTCTGTGACTCTGTTAACCACCCTGAAAACAATTGTCATTCTCCATTATGCCCATTTCACAGATGGGGTCACTGAGGCCAGAGGAAGCCATGACTCAACCAGTGGGGCCCCAGGTTGGTGAGACATCAAGCAATGTGCTTGAAGCCCCACCCCGGGGGCAGGGGGCTGTTGACGGCTGAGTCTTGGGAATTTGTACATGTCTCAGGCGGGATAACCTCTGTGAATCTTTCCACCCAGCCCCTCGGATGCCAGGAGGGCTCCTGGTGAGAGGAGGGCATGGGTGCAGGGCGTCAGTCACCCCGTCCCTGATGACTTTTATACACTGCAGACTACTCTAAGAGGCTGAGAGATGACCAGCAGCCTCTGTGCTCCCATCCCCACAGCCCAAGGCCCTTTTCTGTTGGACAAGAAACACTGTGCCCTTAGGATTCCCACTCTGGCCCCTCCCCTGCACCCCTTCTACCCAGAGGCCAGGGACAGGCCTGGGAAGCAGCTCAGCCTCCTGGGGTGCCCCAGGGACCCTACAGGGCACTGTGGCAGGTCACCCTCCTGCCCTCCCACTTCAGCCCTCCTACCTCTCCTGGCTCGTCCAGGATCGACATCCATCCTTTCTTGAAGTTGAGCAGATCAGGCTGTGGGGAGACAAGGAGGCAGATGAGTCAGCCAGCAGAGAACCAAAGGAAGCTGGGCAGGAGGGGGTGACTGAGTCTTGTAAGACTGAGGTCCTGGGAAGCCAGGAGAGAGGGCTGAGGGCCCACGTAACCCCCAAATCCAGGCTCCCCAGACACTGAGGCAGCCTTGGCCCCTTTCCCTAACATTCGGCAATCTCTGAGGGCCAAGAGCAGGGGGCCGCCGGGTGACCGGTGCACCCACCACAGCTATCTCAGCTCCCCTCCCACTGACCTCCTTCCTGACCCAGGAATAAGAGAGAGGGGGCCAGAGAACTCCACCTGCAAAGAGACCCTTAGAGAGCTCAGAACAGGCCGCACCAGCAGGCTGAGCAAACCATCCAGTTCCTCCCACTGATGAGGCTCACCAGGAAAACGCCTTAATGCTCCTGCCTACCCCCAACCCAGGGACCCTCCTGTGGTCCCACCAGCCCTGCTCTGCCCTCATCTCCTAGAGATCCTGAAAGATGGAGTCAGGCCAAGGCTGGGGTCAGAGATCCTCAGTTCCCCCCCATCTCTGGAAGGGCTGAGGAGACGGCACCTCAGTCCTGGCAAGCCCTACCTCCCGGGTGCTGCCCAGCGGGGCACGGCCCCGGGGTCTGAGGGCTCCCAGCTGCAGCATGTTCCACAGGGGCAGTGAGCTAGGTATGCCCACCTAGGCCTGCATGAAGAAGCTGCTCATCCAGGCATTTTCTCTGGCCTTGCCCATCTGGTGGGCGTCAGTCACCAGACCCCTCCTGCCGGCTGGGGAGACCGCTCTCTAGTCTAAGTTCTGTCCCTCTGCAGAGTCTCAGCTCCTGCCCACTGGCAGGGAGGAGAGCGGGGCAGGCCGGGCTGGCGGACGGGGAGGAGGTGGCCACCTGTTGCCATGGCTCTGAGCCCGCCTATCAGCACCTGCATCGCAGCCTCACCAGGCCAAGGTGTCTGGTTGCGTGGAGGGAGCAGGCAGCATGACTCGGGGCTGAGCAGCGATGATGACATGACGATAGCAGCTGGACACCTGGAATCCAGAGCCACCTGACCTGGCCACCTCCCCTGACCCGCCTTCCTCCCAGGGAGCCCTTCTGCTCTTCTTCAGGGGGAGGAAGTGGCCTGAGAGGGGCTTGGGCCAGCAGCCTGGACAACCAGAGCCATTCATAACCATGGCCATGGAACCAGGGGCCCTGGATCTCAGCAGGCCAGCAGCCCCACCCCTGCAATGCACCCCCTCCCTGCATACCTGTCTGAGGGAGGGGACTCGGGCTCTGCTCAGAGCTGGGAAGCCCTGGGGCTGTAGGCCCTGTCTCCCTCCCATGGGTGCCCAGGTCATCCCAAGCTATATTGAAAAGTGGTAGCCATGCTCAGGGCCACCAGGTCACCTGGGTTCACCTCATTCAAACTGGGACCTCCCGTGGCCCCGGGCCTGGCGTGCTGTGGCCAGGCCCCAGGGAAAGCCTGATGAGTCACAATGTACCCTCTTCTATCTCCCTGGTCTAAATTCCTGTGCTTTGGGGGCAGTCTCCACCTCTACCCCCTGGCCCTCAGGAGCCAGGCTTTCTGGGGTCACACGTGGAGCTGGCATCGCTGTGCTGACCCAGGGGAAAGCCCCCAGGAAGGACAAGCAGATGACCTAGCCAATCAGACTGCGTCAGGGCTAGATCAGCCAGAGGCTTCCAGAGCAATGACAGGCTGGGACCCCAAGGGCTGCCTGGGAAGGGGGTCACATCCCCTCCCTGAGCCCAGCTGCCTAACGTGGCAAATGATCGAGAGGTTCTGCCCTCCCCCAAGCTTTGCGAGAGGAATGAATGTGCCACATATGGAGAAGTCTGGTGACCCTCTGGAAGCTGGTACAAACACAGGAACGAGATGGCACGGTGACCTTGGGGAGAAGAGGCTGCCAACGTGAGTTTTAAACCTGCTGGCAGGGGAGGTCCTGCAGTCACCTGAGAACCACCCCGGGGTCAAAAGGTCCGATCACCTCAATCTCTCACGCCGCACCCTCGCCCACAGCTCCTCAGGCCGGCCACCCCCTCCACCTGCAGGAACCCTCTCTCTCCTTCCCCTCAGGCGGCCCGCCTTCTTCCCTTTGGCCAAGGCCACAGGTCGGCATGGCCTCCTGCCGGCCTGGACCATCCACACGGCCTCCTCTAAGCACACTCTGGCAGGGGGACCCACTCGGAAAAGCCTCGTGTCACAAGTCTGCTTAAAACCCCCAAGACTGGCTTCAAAACAAGGTCCCGCTCCCTTAGGATAGCACAAAAGTGTCAGTCCACCCGTTCAGCCTGGCCTCCCTCCTGCTTAGGGGGCCCCATGGTTATGTCACTACCCATCCTCTCTGATCCCAATACATCAGGACGCCGGGCCCTCCATATACGCCCGTATCCTGCTCCCGCTGACCAGAACCCCTACTCACGCTCAGACCCTGTTGGAGGGTCTTTACTGCCACCTCGGAGGCCCCCTTCCCAGTACACACCATAGGCCGTGCCAGCTGCCCTCCCCCAGCCTCTGTGGCATCCATGACGATCTTGAAGCCACTTACTTATCCCTCACAGGCTACATAGAGGCACTCACAGGCAGGGACATGTGCTGTTCACCCTCCAGGACCCAAGGCACAGAGAACGTTTGTAGAAATTTCTTTCTTTTCCTTTTTTTTTTTTTAAGCACCAGGCACTGTTCTAGGCCATGAGATCAACTGTGAATGAGAGCTGTGGCCCCTGCCCTGGTGGGACTCAGGAGAGACAGACAATAAGCAAGAAAACAGGTATATAATTTGCGGCCAGGCAGCAGCTGGGGAAGGAGGCTCGGGGGCGGGCTGCGCCAGCCCGGGGCAGAGGGAGGCAGCTCCCGGGGCCTGTGAGCACCGGCCCACTCACAGCACCTCTGCCACTTGCTCCATACAGATCCCTGAGGGGCCAGGAGAGAGGAAAAGCTGTGTGTGAAGAAGGCAGAGGGACACTAATCCCGAGCAGGCGCAGGTCTGCAGGCAGTCAGGATGAACCCAGCCTACACTGTCAGTGGTGATCACCAGCCTCTCCTCTGCCCCAAAACCGTTCATGGCTCCCCAGTGCCCCTGACGGAAGCCCGAGCTGCCTTTCCTGGCCTTTGAGGCCTCTTCCCGGCCCCTTGTCTCACCATTCCCCAAACATGACCGCCAGCCTTTGTCCACACTGTTCCCTCCGCCAGTCCATCTCCACCTGACAAAGTCCTGCACTCACAGGAGGCATCTCCCTCGGGAAGCCCCCTCCCACCAGCGGGGCTGTGCTGGCTGTGCTGTTCCTCCCCACGTGCCCCCACAGGCGCGGCCAGCAGCCTTACCCTGCTCAGCATGTGCCTCCCGGGGAGAGGCAACTGTGTACATTGCTTATCTGGCCCCAGAGAGAACTGGGCCAGACCTGGACACAAATTCTGGCTCAGCCGTGTCACCTGGGGCATGTTACTTCACCTCCCTATGCCTCAGGGTCCTCATCTGGCAGATGGGGAGTTACCACCAACCTTAAAGAGGCAGCTCCGGGAATGTGAAAGCACCCAGGCTAGGGCCTGGCAGGCACCCAGGGGGCAACGCCAGCCCCGCCCCCTGGCTTGGGGTGGGGGAGGCAGAACACTGACTCAGCTCCTCCCCCGACATCCCCCTCTGCTCCCCGCCGGGGAAGGGGAGGCTGCTGACGACAGGAAGGGCCCGCAGGGAGGTGGCAGGATGTGAGGAAGTCCAGGCAGAGGCCAGGTCATCACACTCACAGGGGCAGGGGCCATGGTGCCAATCCCCCGGCAGCCCCGCCCACTCCTGGTCAGGGTCTCCACTCACTCAACCTCCCGCAACCCCACCCTCCAGGTTGTCGGAGCCTCCCTTAGCATTAGTCAGAAACCAAAAGCAGCTCTGGCCCTCCCTTCCGGAACCTCACAAGCAAGGAGCCAGACTGACCTAGAAAGAGGTTACCCCTTCCCTTACACTCGGGATAACCTCGGACAACTCACCAAGTCCCCTCCTCAAGCCTCAGTTTATCCGACTGTGAAATGGGGATAATGGTGAACACGGCTGTGCGGTGCAATACGATAACTGAGGCGATAACTTGTAGAGCTCGGGGAGGGCTCATCCCCAAGAGAAAGACAAGCCCCTGCCACCGTGTCCTGGACCCCCACTCGCGGGCTTGCCCCACCCAAGGCCCTAGCGCGGCTGCGACGGGGCAAGCCCGGGAGAACACGGTATCCTGCCGCTTGAGAAACCCCAGGATGGGCTCCCAGACAGGGCGGGACGGGGCGGCCCCTTCTCACCCACCCAACCTCCGGCCAGCGCCCACACGGGTGGGCAGCCTTCCCAGGCCGGGGCAGCGCCACCCATCCGAGCCGGGGAGCGCCTCTCTCCAGCCCGAGGCGAGACCCCAGCCCCGGGCCAGGCCCGTCTCCGCCCCTCCCACGGCCCGGAGCCCCGGGAGCCCCCGTGGGTCTGGCGGCTTGGAGGAATCGGATCAGGTCTTCACCAAGGGGGCTGGAGGGGAGGGCCACCCCCAAACCGTTCGTGACTGGTCCCGCAAAAGTGAGGACGGGGTGCCCGGGACGAGGCGTGCCCATCTCCTCGGGGTGACCTGGGCTTCTGGCCGGGGAAGGGGAGGCCGGCCGGCCGGCCCGTGGGCTGGGGCGCCCGTCTTCCGGCCGAGACCTCCTCTCGCCGCCAGGCAGTGAGGAAGGGGCGGCCGGGCTGAGGCTCGGGCTCGGGCTCGGGCTCGGGCCGCCGTTCTCACCCGGCCGGGGGCGCGCGGGGGCGCCCGGGGGCACTCACCGTCATGGCGGCGCCCCGGGGCGGCGGGAGCAGGAGGCAGGAGGGTGGAAGGCGCTCTCGGGCCGGGCTCCGCGGCGCGGGAAGCCCGCCGCCGCCGCCCCTCTCGGCCGCCTGCCGCCGCTGCTCCGGCCCTTCCCTTGCCCGGCGCTGCCCCGGCCCCTTCCATCCGCCCATAAAACTTTTTTTTTTTTCAAACTTCCTGGGAGGACCCGGGCGGGCCAATGGGCGGCCGGGAAGCCGGGACAAACAGCGGCGGGGGCTGCGGGCGGGCCAATGGGAGCGCGGGACGGCCCGGGGGCGGGGCCTGCCGCGACGGGACGGGCGCGCGAGGACCGGCGGATGGGGGCGGAGGGAGGCAGGGAGGCGGGCCGGGCTCCGGCCGCGGGCGCGCTGGGAGGAAGGAAGAGCCCGGCGCGCAGGTGACTCGGTCGGGCCACGGCGCCGAGTGCGGGGTGGGGGCAGCCGGGTGTGGCCCTGCGTCGCCCCGGCTCCGGTTCCCCGCCCCAGCCGCGAGCCACCGGACGGAGCGATGGGTCCACTAGGCCTCGGTGCCTCGGTTCGATGGAGACGTGGGCAAAGCAGCCAGTACTAACAACCCAGCGGCTCCCACTCCCCGAGCCCCGCTCGTTACCTGTGATCGACTTTCGTCCTCATCAAGACCTGACAGGGAGGTGTCCTGTCCCCTTCTTGCTAATGGGAAAACGGAGGCTCAAAGAGGTGAGCCGACTTGCCCAAGGTCGCACAGTAAGGAGAGACGGGATTCCTAGCACGAAATCTAAGCACAAAATGAGTTCTGGAATGGTAAGGCCTTCCCCCGATGCCCTCTCCTCACAAGCAGGTCTTTCTCGGCTTAGGAGTCTCATTTTGGGTTCTTGGGTGCGGGCGCACACCCGTTTCTCACGTTCCCAGAGCACTTAGCAGTTTGTGAGAGGCTTTTTGCCTGCAGGAGCTCATCTGAGCCCTGCAGCAGAGGAAAGACCTTGGTGGAATTTCTTGCTAAATGCATGCGGTAGCTTGTATGGCATTGTGACTCAAACCGTGTGTTAGCTTAAGCAATGTGCTTAACCTCTCTGTGCCTCAACTTCACCCTCTGTAAAATGGGATAATGCTGTTATCTCATGGGGTTGCTGTAGGATTATGTGTTAAATTAAGTAAAGCACCTGGAACAAACCCTTTATCCCCAGGTGGCTAGGGGACCTTAGAATAATTGCCATTTCAATTATTCTGCCATCTCAGTTTGGGGTTCAAAAATTATTGCTGTCAAAACTCTAATTACTATCCGCATGTCACAGATACAGAAATGGAGGCCCAGGGAGCTGAAGTTCTTTCCCGGCATTTCCCAGTGGGTGTCTCTCCTCCACCCTGAGGAATGAGGCCAAGGGTCAGCCCACCTTCCTCTCGACATGGCCTCTGGCATCCCCATGCTGTTTTCCCACCCCACCCCTGCACCTCACTCAGGCATCGGTCCCTGGGAGAGGGGGTGAACACACAGGAGACCTCACCTACCACCAGTGCCCTGGCCCAGAATCAGCCTCCTTGCTGGTTTGCTGGCCTCTAGGACGACCCTTCTAGTACCCTCAGCCCAGTGGTGAGACCGCGCCCCTACTCAGCGTTCTTCAACGCTTCCCCAGTGCTAATAGATCGGCTCTACGTTCTTGTTCCAGGGAGTCAGCGCCCGGCGTAATCTGGCCCCTGCCTTCTGTCCTCTGTCATTATATACACACATTTTACATGCTAGGGATACAGGGCGCTGGACAACTGGGAATTCCCAGAATAAGCCAGGTCTTTGTCCCTCGGAGGGGACGGCACATGTTGTTCTCTGCCTGTCTGGAACATTTCCCTTCCTGTCCTTCGTGCCCCAGCACATACACACTCTCTCTCCCCCTCACTCTCCCCCTGTCCCTCCCTCCAAATGTTTGCTTGCCTGGAAAATTCCTCCTCACCCTTCAAGTCTCGGTCCAAAGGAAGCCACAGTGCCCCGAGCGCAGACTTAGAATCTCCTTGGCCAGTGTTCCCCACCTCGACTCCCTGCCCAGTGCTCCCCGCGTCTGTGCATTCCCCCACTGAAGTGATGGCCCCGCTGTGTCCTAACCAGTTACATGGCATTGTCCTCACCAAACTGTGAGCTCCTTGTGGGGAGGGAGGGGGCGTTCTAGCTCAGAGGCCGGCCCAGGGCCTCAGCCCACAGTAGGTCCTTAGGAACAGGGGTCAAATGAAGAATGAGCAAATGGAGGATTGACTCCCTGACCACAACTTGCCCTGGAAGGACAGGATGGCACAGCCTCACGGAGCCGGGAGTGAGTTATTAACCAGAGCCACCAAATTTGGGGGTTATCCAGTCTCAAACCATCACTCTATTAAGGATAACAGTGGGAGGCTCAGAAAAGGGAGAAGTGGTCCAAAGCCACACAAGTGAGGGACGGAGACAACCCAAGCCCAGGCTTCCTGGCTCTTGGCTTTGAACTAGCGTGACTGTCCAGCCTGAGAGAGGTTTGAAGTTGCTCTAGGTGACTGTCGGCACGGCTCCACTGGGAGTTCCACCCCTCAGCTCCTGATTTTACTCATCCCCAGATGAGAGCACAGCTGCAAACTCACCGAGCCTCAGTTGCCACATCTGTCTAATGGGAAAATCCGTGGAGACACTCCGGGCTGCAAGGAGGGCCCAGGGAAATCAGGATGCACAGAGGTGGGGGGGCTCTGAGGTCAGCCACAGCAGGGTTCAAATCTTACCTCTGCCCCTTGTGTGACCTAGAACAAGTGATTTCTCCTCTCTGAGCTTCCTTTTCCACACCTGTAAAATGGCCAGGATGGGACCGTACCTGCTATGCCTAGTGGCGAGGGTTAAATGCATTCAGGCTTGCCGTGCAATGAACACAGAGCTGAGCACACTGTCGGTGCATAATACATGCTGGTGATCATCCCCAACATCATTATCCCAGAGTTCTTGTCCCCATGTCTCTCTTCCTCTCTCCACCAGGGACTCACCTGGCCCCTCCTGCCAGACCTGCTGCGTGTGGGTGACCTTTAATTACTCTGATAAGATAACTCACGCCCACAGCTTGTGGGTACCACCTGGTCACCCTCGAGTCTTAACCCCAGAGGGCAGCAGAGAGGAGATTCTAATGTGGAGGGGAAGGTTAGTTTTCAGAGGCCCCCACCATCATGGCTCTGTGCATCCTGATTTCCTGAGCCCTCCCTGGAGCCCTGAGGGTCTCCATAGATTCTCCCCGCCAGACAGATGTGGCAGCTGGAGCTCAGTGAGTTTGGCGGCCATCGTTCTCTTATGGAGGAATGAGGAAAATCAGCAAGAGGCTGGCTCCTCTAGACCCTGGCACTGCGGCCTCAGGCAAGTCAACTTATCCGAGCCTCAGTGCCTTCATCTGTAAAATGGGTAGACTGTCTCTAACATGGCCAGCCTAGTGCTGACCCAAAGCCAATGAGGGTACAAGAGTCGGCCTGTCACTGAGAGAAGAGACCCCACCAGCGTGTGGCCCCTGAAGATGGCCAGGCCCCTTCCCTCCCCCTGTGTAGGGGGCAGGAGGGAGCAAGTCACAGCTGCCTCCCCTCCCTGCCCTTGAGGAAACCCCGAACCAGAGGCCTGAGTGTTTACAGCCCTCTCTGGGCAGGGGATGCGTTACGTAATGCCAGATGTTTGTGAAACTGGCGCAGGCCCAGGTCTGAGACACACTTTGCAATCCCAGAGCCCCTTGCAGGCCTTCCCTTCCTCTCCTCCTTCCCTCCAACCTGCCTCCCCTCGGCCTAGTTGCTGACTGGGAGCTTTCGCCTGTGTAGATTATTCACTCACCCCTCACCCTGAGAGCTGAAGACAGCCCAACCCTGCCCTGGCGGTGGGAGATGCTGCTCAGAGCAGGGACCACAGGGCGGCTAGGACTCTGCCGCCATCTCTCCTTTCTCGTGCATGCGTGCGTGCGTGCGGGGCCCCAAATCCCTCCCTCTCTCCCCCACTCTCTCTTCTTTGACTAACCTCCCCCTCCCCTACCCCCTCCCCTCCATCCCCGCTCCCACCCCACTGGAGCCAGCCTACCCTTTGCCACCTGAGGACCCCCAGAGACAGCAGGAACGGATTGAACAGCGTGGGACGGTCCCCGGGCATCCGCCATGAGGTCACCAGTCGGCCCTTGAGCAGGCTCCCAGGCTTGCCCTCCGCTGGCCTCTTGTCTGCCTGTCAAACAGGGTCCAATGTTGGCCCCCAGGTCCCTTTTGTGGGATGGGGGCATCCCTGACTACAGCCTCCCCTGCCCATTGTGCCATGCCCCCCTCAAAGGCCCAGGGCTCCCATCTTCCTCCTCTCTCCGAGCTGCTGAGAAAAGAGCCTGTTAACTCGTTCACACTCCATGGTGTTTGACAGGATTCCTGCAGCTGCAGCCTCGAGGACATGCGCTTCACCCCTAAAGTCAAACCCCAGGTGGCCAGCGGGAGGGCGGTGCAGGCCACCGATGTGGGCTCAGCCCGCGGATAGTTTTCAGGTTACTTTGCGTTGGGTTCCAGTGTTAAATAATCAGGAGGTTGAACATATACTTACATACTTCTAATTTCTCTCAAAATATCTAAGGATGGGGAGACTCTGGACCCCTCTTCCCCGTGGCGACAACCATCTGAAGCCAAGGGGTCATACGATGGGCCCCCCAATCGCAAGTCCCCCTTCTGCCTACTCTCCTCACCTTTGCGAAAGGAATGAGTCACAGACTTCCACAGCACCCCCAGCACAGCCCCCAAAAGGCACCCCCTTAGGAGTCATCCTTGTTGGGGAAACTGAGGCCCCAACGAAGCAGAGACATTTGCCCCAAGTCACACAGTAGGTCACTGGCAGAGGCGGGACAGAGTCCAGGTGCCCAGCTCTCCAGAATCCAGAGATTCTCTGGAGGCGGGATGTGAGGCATCGAAGCACAGGTCCAGGGGCTTTAGGGGAAGGCCTGTCCCCAACCCTGCCACCACGTCCCCCATCACAGCCCTGACCGCTAGACCGTGAGCTCCATGCTGGCGCCAGAGCTCACTTCTGGCCCCCAGTTAGGCATGCAGAAGGCGGTCACTAAGGCCATGTGAGAGAATGAATGAACGAGGCAGTTATCAACTGTGTCCGGTCCAGGCTGCCTGGGGGTGGATGGAGAGGTTCTCCATTTGTTGGGACAGCCCATTTTGTGGAGACTAGAGGGGGACCCCTGTACTGCTATTTCCTCTTTGTTCACAAAACTCTGGCTCCAGGAAGTGTGAAGAAATAACCCAGAAAGAGGAAGAGCGACGTTGCTGGAGCCGCCATGAGAGCTGGAAGTGCCTTTCGCGATCAGGCTCCTGTTCCCTCCCACTTCCCAGAGGGGAAGACTGGCCCCCCAAGTGCGTGGAACCCAGCTGCAGCTGCTCGAGGTCATGCAGGGAATCAGCCCAGCCAGGGAGCAGTGGGGGCGGGGGAGCAGGGAGAGGGTCCTCGGCCCTGGGTTCTAGTTTGAGGCCAGCCACCGACTGGCTGAGTGACCTGGACGTCTCCCCTGCCCCTTGTTTCCTCATCTGCGCAGGGAGGGGTCGGGCAGAATCCCACCAGCTCTGACTCGCAGCAGGGCCAGACTCGGGGGCTCCAGCTGCCCTTCAGAGGCTCCCCCCACCCAATCACACCTGGCTTCTCAGGGTTAGGTTAGGACAGGGAACAGCAGAACGGCAGGATGAGGAAAACACAGCCCCGACAGCCGGTCTCCTCCTCCCCGCCCCCCGCTACCCCAGGCCCTCAGCTCTGACCTCACCTCTCTGGAGGCTGAGGGTGATGAGAACAGTCTGTTTGGCAGGTCGTGGGGAAGGGAGGGGCAGAGCAGTGCACTCCAGCTGCAGCCAGGCCTCAGAGCAGCCTCAGTGGGCCCCACCCCCTGCATACATCTCTCCCACCCCAGGACCCTGGAGACCCTCCCGGCCCGGCTGACTGCGGCACCTCCTCATCCCTCTTCAACCAGCTCCTGGAAGCCCTACCCGTTCTCCCCGCCTGGCCAGTCCTCCAGAACCAGAAGGACCTTGCTTTCAAAGACCATAGGAGCCAAACCTCCCTTTGCCCAGGGAAGGACGGTGACCTTTTCAGGGCATCCTGGTAAGTTAGAAGCAGAACCCTGGGCTTTGGGCCCCAGAATCGTCCACCCACCCTGGTCCCTGAGCCAGAAGGTGGTTCTGCTGCCCAGCTCCTCCAGAGCCCCTCTTCTCAAGGCCCCACCAGGCACACAGATGACCCCATGGCAGAGCCAACTCTGGTCTGGATGATCCCAGAGCTCATCTGAGGACCTCCGCCTACCTCTAAACTGATTTCCCTCCCCTTCCCCTCCCTACGGCCCCACACCCACAACCCAACTACCGAGTCTGTCTGCTTCTCATCAGTCAGTGAGTCTTGGCCTCTGCTCGGTTCTGACTCTTCAGGCTCCTCTGGTTGGAACTAGAGATGAGAAAGAACACAGCTTAGCGCAGGCTATTGCCCAGGGTTCTTCCACCTATCCACTTTCTTATCCATCCACTCATCATCCATCCATCCAACATCCATCTAGCATCCAACATCAATAGATCCATGTATCCATTCAACCATTCAACATCCTCTTACATTATCTACCCACTCATCTATCCAACATCCGTTATCTCTTTTATATATCCACCCTCTTTTATTCATCATCTATCCATCCATCCTACATCCTATGTACCCTTCCTCAATCCATCCAACATCCTTTCATCCATCATCCATCTATCCATCCTTCCAACATTCATTCACTATCCATCCATATTCCACAACATTTACCCATCCATGTAACATCCATCCATCCATCCATATTCCACCCAACATTCATTCATCCATCCATTCATCATCCCATCCATCATCTAAGCAATATCCATCTATCCAACACCCACCCTCTGTCCATCATCCATTCGTCACCCATCTATCTGTCCATCCACTCATCTGTCATCCATCCAATATCTATCCATTTATCATTTGTCCAGGGTATATCATCTGTCCACCACTCATTCACACATTTGTCATCTGTCATGCATCCATCATCCATTGACCCACCCATCCGCCATCTGTTGCTTGCATGCACTCAAGCATCCATTTATTCAGTGATCAATGAACAGGCATGTGGTGAGTGAAGAGGGAAGGGAAGAGCATCCTAGGCAAGGGGAACAGCATGTGCAAAGGTAGAGAGATATGGTACAGAGCTCTGCAGCCAGCTCAGCATGTCTAGAGTGTAAATCTGGCGTGGAAGGAAGGACAGGAGGCCTTGAATGCCATGCCAAGGATTTTCATAGAGGGTGAGCAGCTGGAGCCCCAGCAGGAACTAGTGACTGCCTCTATTGTGTCATCTTTGAAATGTACATAGCCACCTGATGCCCCAGCCCCACCCAATCACCATCTCCTAACATCCCAGGGACCCCTGAGCCTCACCATGGAGTAACTCTAGCTGAAGATCCCTCTGCCCTCCCCCCTCCCATTTGCCCAGGCCAGCCTGCAGCGCCCCGGCATCCATTGGGACACAGCCTCTGGCCCCTCCCTGAGCAGCCTGTGGCCTGCCTGCCTCCCTAACAAGCCTGACAGCAATTTGGGGGCAGGACCAAGCTGGCTCATCACCACATGTCTTGTGTCTGTGCATTGAGCTAATGAGAGGAAATCAGCAAAAGCCACAGGTAACTAAATACGGGGAGGGTGGCTCCCCAGTCCCGCCGTGGGCTCAGAGCCTTGACAACTTCGTGGGTCAGAAGCTCGGGCTTTGGATCGACTTGGATCTCTTTTCTCATGACTTATGCTTGTGTGACCCATGGGAAATCTCTGACAAGTCTGAGCCTCAGTTTCCTCATCTATAAAAGGGGAACAGTGGCAGCTGCCTCATGTCTAGTGGAGGCATGTATGACAATGCATGTGAGGCACTAAGCCGGGCCCCACACACTGTCAGCCCTCCCCCATCAGCCATGGGGAGGCGGCACACGTGGCGATGAGCAGGGTCTGGAATAATGAGCAAGAGCCTCTGCGTCATCCCATGGGGCCTGTCAGGGAAGTTGGTCCCATCTTACAGGGAAGACCGGGGCTGAGAGAGGCTGGGTGTCTGAACCCATGGGCTGCGTTCCTGGGGAGCTGAGGCCGAGTTGGTAGGGCTCATGGCCTGCAGGACCCTCCCCACCCACTATCTGCAGAGAAAGGCTCAGATCAATGCTCCGGGCAGCCCTAGAGTACCGCTGACTCTGTGACCCTGCCCCCGGGGCCAGAGGCAGGGAAGGGACTGGGCCTGCTCTGCACAGGGGCCCTCGTGTAAGCAGCCCGTCTCGGCAGCCAACAGAACCCAGGGAGCGTTTAGGCCACCTCTTCTCTGTCCTGAGAGGAGCTGTAGGGGCCGGAGACGGGTAAGCGAGCTGCCCTGGACTTCGAGGAACACAGCAGGGGAGGGGACGTGACCACACTGGCTGCAGTCCCAGGCGGGGTCAGGTAGGAGCCACCAGAAGCAACATAAACCAGGCGTCGTGGGGCCGGGGGCAGGGGAGAAGGCCCTGGGCGGAGCGTCTTGCTGGGGGCCTCAGGGTGATCTGCGCTGAGCAGACCGGGGGTCCACCCCTGCCCCAGCCCTCGTTGTGTGATCTTGGGCAAGCGGCTTAACCTCTCTGTGTCTCAGTTTCCTTATGTGTAAAGAAACAGTGCCTTTCTCATCAGGTTGCGTTGCTATGGAGATTAAATGAGAATAGCCACCAAACATTCAGACCAGGGCTTAGCGCATAGTAAACGCTCAAAAAAGTGTTGGTCATTGTCACTGCTGTGCAGTGCGGTGGTTGGGAAAGGTTCGGGTCAGGAGGGAGGGTTGGGCCTGAGCCTTGGGGGTGTGCAGGAGCTGAAGGGCTGACGGGAGAGCTGTCTAAAGACACTGGTCTGGGGAGGGGCTGACTTTCAGGCTGCCCGTAGGAGGTGAAACGGACTTACCTCCCACTGTGTCGAGCTGGGGCCCTCTGCAGGGCTTCTGCTCCCCAGCTGGCCCGTCTCCTCCAGACCAGCCATAGCCAAGGCCTCTGGTCCACTGGTCACTTTGCTCTTTGGCCACTGGGTGGAGATGCAGGCAGGGCTGGGCGGCTGGGCCAAGCTCTGGGGCCACTGCCCAGGGCTGTGTCCATTGACTAGGGTGGCCTCAGCCCAGCCTTCAGGTTGGCCGTGTTGCTCTCGCTCCAGGACGCCCTCTGTGCCTGGGAAACCCACCTCTGACCCCAAAGCTGTGGCCAGGCCACCCCAGTGGCCAGCTGGGTCCTTTCGGGGCAGCTGGGCCTGCAGGAGCTCTAGGAGGCCTTCCCAGTCCAGCCTTGGAAGACGGGAAGTGAGCATCGGCTCCTCCACACGGGCCCAGGCCTCCTCTCTGGGTGCCCCAAGAAGGCCTACCAGGTTCCTCCAGTCCAGCTCAGGTCGCCACTCAGGGCCATGCAGGTGTGGGCATGTTCCCTCAACCCCCCCATCCCTGGCAATAGGCATCTCGGGCTTCCAGGATTTCGAGAACTCTGCTGGGCCTGCCCTGGAGTTCTCTGGGGGGCTCCCAGGCTGGTGGGGACTAGACAGCTCCTGCAGGCTGCCCCAGCCCCTCTGTGCTGGCCTGTCCGGGGGCTCCTCCCAGGCCTCTGATTGCCCCCTGTGGCAGGTGGGGCCACCCAGCTGCCCCCAGCTCTCCTCAGACTCCCTGGGAGGGCCCCTGTGTGTTCCCTCCGGGGCTCTGGCAGCTCCCCAGCTGGGCTCCCCAAGTCCTTGCCAGCCCCCTAGGCCCAGGTCCTCCTCCTGGCTGCTCCAGCCTCTCTCCAGCTGTCTGTGAGGGCCCCGGGATCCTGGCAGCTCCTCCTGACTCCGCCACCCCACCAGAGGCTGCCTTTGGCCCACCCGGCCACTCTCCGGAGGTCTCTCTGTCCGCTGCTGCCTCTCGGGGGTCCTGGCTGATGTCCTCGGGGGCGGCGAGGACCCCTGGAGCCGCCGGTCCCCCTCAGGCCGCCTCTCGGGGCTCCTGGGACGAGGGGGCTCTGCTCGGCTCCGCTGGGCTGGTTCTGCCTGCTTCACAAGGGGCTTGGTTACCTGAGGATGAGGTGAGGGGGTGGGTGAGTCTCCAAGACCCCAACTGGGTGGCCTCTGTCTAGGAGGGTGGGAAACTCAGGTCTTAGCCAGGCCCCAGGGGGAGATAAGCTGTGTCCTCCCAGCAGCCTGGACGAAAGCGGGTGGAAAAGTACCCAGGTCTCTGGAGTCCTCCCTGGGAGGGGGTGGGGGGTCAGCTCTTCCCTCTCACCCACTTTCCTCAGTTCCAGAAAGAGATCTGCAAAGAGCTGCTCACTTTCCCCGCTTCCCCTCCCTACAAGATACTGATTCCAACCTGGGCTATCAGGTGCCGGAATTTCCACCACCAATACTCCATTCCACTGGGTCGGGCCTTGCCCTCTAAAACTTTCTTTAAGAAGACAAATCCCCACCCTGGAAGAGATGGCCCTTAGAGCTGGATTGAGCTATCTGAGGCTTTCCCTGAAACCTTCTCAGGATAGCAGGTACCTAATAAAGGAAGGGGACAGCATGGAAGGGCCATCTTCAAAGGACGAATTTGGGGTCCTTCTCAATTTGCCAAGAGCTGCTGGCTGTTTGGAAGAGGGGGGAGCCAGACACCCAGGATTGGGACTCTGACTCCTTCATAAAGGACCTCCCTTCCCAGGACCCCTGCCTGGTACCTGGGGAAGGGGAGACACAGGGGCCCACTCCTTGGGGGCTGCGGGGGCCCGGGGCAGGCTCATGGTGCTCACCTCCCTGCTGAGGGCAGGGCTGGACTGTCTTCGGAGAAGTTGGCTCTGACCTTGGCCGGGCCGCTGTGACCGCCCCTCCTGCCGGGCCTGGAAGGCCCCCGGTGCCTCGGACTTCCTATGAGCAAATGCAGCCGCCCCTCTGAGGGCCCTTGGGGACCGTCCCACGCCTGCCATCCCAGTCCTCTACTCACACCCCCAAAGGGAGGAGATGTGTGAGATCCAGGGACCCACCATAGGCTCATTGAAGAGCCCTAAGTAAGGGATGATCCTCTCAGGGCCTCAGTTTCCCCTTCTGAAAAATGGGGGAAACTGCTCTACCCTTCCTGCCTCATGGGGCTGTTGTGAAGATATGAGAAAGGGGGTGAGCAAGGTGGGGGGCTCTGTCTTGGCTGTGACCGCCTCCTGTCTCACTTGCTACTTCCTATCTCTGACCGCCACCCACTAGCAGCCCATCACTCACCCCCAGACAAAGGTCAGACTGGTCCTTGCGGGAAGTAAGATTTATTGAGCACCTACTGTGTGCCAGGCACTGTGCACACAGGATCATAATGGCAGACGTTCATTGAGCACTTCCTGTGTTCCAGGGGCCAAGCCCGTGACCATCTCATTTCATCTCACACAACCCACGGGGTGGGGATGGGAGATGCAGAAGGCTCCATGCCCCTATGTTCCATTCTTTCTGCCCTCTTCCTGTCCGATTGGTAAGTTTTGGATTTCACAGGCCCACCATTTACCCCTCCATACTGACTAACAGGATTCCAGCATTTAGCCTGAAAACTCTGGGCCATGCTAGCTGTTGGTAAAAGAGCTCTCAGCAAGATCAGAAGGAAGAAACATCCCCGCTTCCCCGACAATTCCAGAAAGGCCATCGTAATCTGTCCATGCAGATGTCATCCTCAGACACCCGGACTTCAGGCGCTGTTGCCACGTGCGCCAAAGATAACCTCTGAGCTGTAAAAAGTCCCTGGTTCCGGGTAGCTGTCTTGCCTAGTAATTGGTTGCCATGGTTATTAATATTCAACGTGACATCTCTGTTGAAAGGTAGGCACACCAAACCAAATCTGGGCCCACGTCTCTCCCCTCCTGTGTGTAAGGGGGTCAAGACAAAAGACCTAACCACTCCACTGGAGATCCACGTCAACAGGGTCGGAGCCTGACTTCATCTAAACCGACAAACGGAGATGCGCCTCTCGTGGTTGAACTGAACCAGGAGAAGCCTGAAGAAGACACCTCAGTGCTGAGCCCTGACCGAGCCAGCAAAACGGGAAGAAAGAGGAATCTCTACGCAGGTCTCAGCAATCTGCCTGCAGCTTGGGAAACCCTACGGGCTTTGGAGAGTAGAAAAATTACGGGTTTGGGGTTTGTTGTTGTCGTCTCATGGCTTTTCCAATGTTGTTAGAATCGGATGCGTAAATGAGATCAGTTTTTAGCAGTTCTTAGCAGCTGACTCACGGGGAACCACAGTTGCAGCCGCCTGATCAGGTTCAACTTTTAATCTAATTTGAAGTGAGGGCGGTTCCTCGCTCCGTGAGATCTGAGGCCTTAGAGTGAGTTCTCCCCAGAACAGAGCATAGGAGCCTTTATAAAGCAAAAGCCCCGAATGTGACTGGGGTGGGGGTGGGGGTGTGTGTGTGTGTGTCAGGTAATGGAGGAAATACTCAGTACAGGGCAGCGAGGCAAATGTGTGCTCTCTCCAGGGCAGCGAGGCAAATGTGTGCTTTCTCTCGAGTGGATGCATTTTCCGTAGAAACTCCAGCTGGCTCAGTGATCCTTCTGGGAATTTCCCCCCTCCATGTGGAATTGAGAGAGAAGAGGGAAGGACTCAAGAAGATTCTGAAACTCCTCCAGAGACCCAACCCTTCTGCTGCTGAAGCAACTGTGTCCCCTGGGCCACCTGTCCCTAAAGGTTGGTGTGGCTGCAGCGAGGGTGACAAAGGAAATGCGTTTCCTTTGGAAGCTTGGATGAGCTCTTCCACCTCCAGAGAGTATTAAAGGACAAAAGCTGTCAAATCTAGCAAATTCCATGAAGGCTCTGTTTTGAATTCAAGAGACTACGAAATGCTTATATGACTCTAAGATAAGAGATCCCAAAGGCATCTGGGGGGGGAGGGGGCCAGGGAATGAAGATATTAAGCCAAAATTCCTAATGCTTTAATGTGATTTTTTTGAGAAAAAATTTCCAGGCTCAGTTAGAATGATGCTTGCACAAAGTAGATGCTCAATAAACACGTGTTGAATGAATAAGTGGGAGAAGATCAAAGGCAGCTCTCCAGCCACCCACTCATAAATTTCAGTCTGCCCCTTACAGATACTGAAATAGGTTTTAAAACTTCATCTTCAGAGGACGAATGGTTTTCTACTTGGAAAAAGTGCCAGACAAGAGGAAGAAATTTAATTACTCAGTAGAATTATAAAACCTTGGTTAAAAGGTAAATAATCTACTTCACCAAAATGTATACATTATATGCAATTATTTGTATATCAATTATACCTCAAAAAAAGCTTTAAAAAAGTAATCTAGTTCAAAGAGAGTAAAATAAAATGATTAGAAATAACTGTGTAAAAACAATTAAATGGTTAATGAAAGTATAAACATATTCTGGGCTTGTATTACAAACGCTTTCTCTCTCTAAAAGTTATCCGTGTAAGAAAAAAGAAGAGATAAGGTTTCTCCTGCAGATTCAAATCTAAGAGAAAACGTTGCCTAAGGGACAAGAAAGAGAGGAATTCTAGATGCAAAATATTAGTAAAATTAGGTTGTCGTGATGGTTGTACAACTTGGTCTCGGTAAAGACACTGTAATTCACTGAATTGTGCACTGAAAGCTTTGAGACTTCCACACCTACTTTTCTGCCGTTTTCTTGACTCTAACTAATGGAATTCCAGTCCTGATCCTCGAAAACTCCGAGGCTGGAACTGCTGGAGAAAGAAATCTCAGCCAGATGGGGAGGAAACGCTTCCCCTCCCCACAGCTGTGGAACAGCAGATACTCTGCTGAGTCCTAAACCGCCTTGTCTGAATAGTGCTGCTGACCGACGGACTAGCCAGATACCTGGACTTCGGCATTGTCACCAGGTCCCAGGAAAGTCACATTTCACCTCTAAAAAGTCTATAATTCTGTGAGTTCTCCTGTTTAAAATGTGTGGCTCTGGCCATATGTTTTAAGTTGACATCTCTGTTTCTGAAACGCATGGGCCGTGTGAGTTTTCTTTGTTAAGCCAGAAAAGAATTGTGGGCACTCTCTTCTCGCATCTCACGGGAGGAAGAAAAAACAAAATAAACCTGTGACTCTAGATCAAAGGAAACTAATGTACTAATGCTCTCCCCATTTTACAGATGAGGAAACTGAGGCTCGGGTGGGTTAAGTCACTTTGCCAGGTCGCACAGCTTGGGGAGTGGCTTTGACCCAGGATTTGAACCCAGTCTGCTTGACCCTGGCCTTCGCTACTAACCACCAGGCTATGCACAGCATCACTTAATTGTCAAAAAACCCTCCTAAGATGTGGATACAGAGAGATGAAGTGACTTGCCCAAGGTCACACAGCCAGTTAGTGGCAGGGCGGGCATCTAAATCCTTTCCATAGGGCAACCTAAGCCTGTGAATCATCCACCTGTCCCGGGGCCAAGACTCCTCCCCAACCCACCTGGCTGACCCCGCCCTGGGCTCACCTGCGCTCTTGCCCGAAGAGGCGCTCCACCTCCGCGCGGCCAGGGCTGCGGGTGCGGCCCCCACTGCTGCACTGGGGCCCTGGATCCCTCTGCGCCAGCCTCCTGGGCGGGGGCAGGTCAGCCAGCATGGTGTACTCCTCCCTCTCCAAGTTGTGCCTGGTCTCCCCAGGGGGCATGGAGCTCCGGGAGCCCCCCGAGCTGCCTGGTGGAGGTGAGGGTGCCAGAAGTGCTAGGTCACTGGGTGGGTGGCGAGGTGGGGACGAGGCTCGAGGTGCATCTCGATGCCCAATGCACACTTGTGGGGGCAGCACTGGGGAGCCACGCAGAGAGTCGGTGGAGGGGGCCAGGCTCTCCATACTAGTCCCGGGGGGGTCCTGGAAGAAGAGGGAGGGCTCGGGGGCCTGGCGTGGTGGGGACGAGAAGGAAGGTGCATCCCGGTGCCCAATGCACACAGGGGTGGGGATGTGGGGGGGTTCATGCAGAGAGTCTGTGGAGGGGACAAGGCTCTCGGTGCTAGCCCTGGGGAGATCCTGGAACAAGAGGGAGGGCTCTGGGGCCTGGCGTGGTGGGGAGGAGGCCCGGGGTGCATCGCGGTACCCAATACACACAGGTGGGGGGAACTGAGGAGGGGCATGCTGGGGGGACTGGATCTCAGCATCTGAAGTGTCTGGGAGGAAGGGGAAGGGATCGAACTGGGTGTGGCGGGGGGGGGGGGGGGGCCCGGGGGGGGGCCCGGTGTCCAATGCATACGGCTGGGGGTATGTTGGGGGAGTCGTAGTGGGGCGACTCACTCTCAGATGCGTGGGGGTCTGGGAAGAAGGGGAAGGGGTCATGTTGCAAATAGCGAGGAGGTGAAGAGGCTCGAGGGGCATCCCGGTGCCCAATGCACACAGCACATGGAGGCTGGGAGGGCTCAGAAGAGGTCTGGGGTGCCCCATGGGTAGCTGGGTGCAGAAGCGTGGAAGTCCGGGGGGCACTGTGGTGGCCTGGGCCATGGGAGGAAGAAGTGGCCCGAGATGATGAGCTGTGCTGGGTGGGACCAGAGGAAGACTGGAGTGGGTCACGCTGGGCTGGTCTAGCGGGAGATGAGGCCTGAGGCCTGTCACCTTGGGTTGGCCGGAGGGCAATGGATGCCCAGGGAACCTCACTTTGCTTGGAGCGAGATGGGGAAGAGGTTCGGGGGCCATCACTCGGGGTGGGCCGGAGGGGAAAGGAGGCCCAGGGAATGTCTTTGTTAGTGCGATGGGGAGAAGAATTCCTAGGATTGTTCTGTTGAGTGGAACGACGGGGAGATGATGGTCCGGGATTGTCCTGTTGGGTGCAGCACTGAGGGGAGGAAGATCCAGGGTTGCCCTGCCAAAAGGAAAAGGATCGCGGGTTGTCCCGTTGGATAAAAGAGGTTCTGAGGTTATCCCATTGGGTACAAGAGGTTTTAGGGTTAGCCCGTTGGGTAGAAGAGGTTCTAGGGGAGTTCTGTTGAATACAAGAAGTTCTGGGGTTGTCCCGTTGGGTGGCTCGGTTGGGAGAGGAGCCTCTGGGGTTGTCCCGTTGGGCACAGGGTGTTCTGGAGCTTTCTCGTTGGGTGGCTCGGTTGGGAGAGGAGGCTCTTGGGTTGTCCCTTTGGGCACAAGTTATTCTGGAGCTTTCCCACTGAGTGGGTCGGTTGGGAGAGGAGGCTCTTGGGTTGTCCCGTTGGGCACAAGATGTTCTGGAGCTTTCTCGTTGGGTGGATCGGTTGGGAGAGGAGGCTCTTGGGTTGTCCCGTTGGGCACAGGGTGTTCTGGAGCTTTCCCACTGAGTGGGTCGGTTGGGAGAGGAGGCCCTTGGGTTGTCCCGTTGGGCACAGGGTGTTCTGAAGCTTTCCCACTGAGTGGGTCGGTTGGGAGAGGAGGCTCTTGGGTTGTCCCGTTGGGCACAGGGTGTTCTGGAGCTTTCCCTCTGAGTGGGTCGGTTGGGAGAGGAGGCTCTTGGGTTGTCCCGTTGGGCACAAGATGTTCTGGAGCTTTCTCGTTGAGTGGATCGGTTGGGAAAGGAGGCTCTTGGGTTGTCCCGTTGGGCACAGGATGTTCTGGAGCTTTCCCACTGAGTGGGTCGGTTGGGAGAGGAGGCTCTGGGGTTGTCCCGTTGGGCACAGGGTGTTCTGGAGCTTTCCCACTGAGTGGGTCGGTTGGGAGAGGAGGCTCTTGGGTTGTCCCGTTGGGCACAGGATGTTCTGGAGCTTTCTCGTTGGGTGGATCGGTTGGGAGAGGAGGCTCTTGGGTTGTCCCGTTGGGCACAGGGTGTTCTGGAGCTTTCCCTCTGAGTGGGTCGGTTGGGAGAGGAGGCTCTTGGGTTGTCCCGTTGGGCACAGGGTGTTCTGGAGCTTTCCCTCTGAGTGGGTCGGTTGGGAGAGGAGGCTCTTGGGTTGTCCCGTTGGGCACAGGGTGTTCTGGAGCTTTCTCGTTGGGTGGCTCGGTTGGGAGAGGAGGCTCTTGGGTTGTCCCGTTGGGCACAGGGTGTTCTGGAGCTTTCCCACTGAGTGGGTCGGTTGGGAGAGGAGGCTCTTGGGTTGTCCCGTTGGGCACAGGATGTTCTGGAGCTTTCTCGTTGGGTGGATCGGTTGGGAGAGGAGGCTCTTGGGTTGTCCCGTTGGGCACAGGGTGTTCTGGAGCTTTCTCGTTGGGTGGATCGGTTGGGAGAGGAGGCTCTTGGGTTGTCCCGTTGGGCACAGGGTGTTCTGGAGCTTTCCCACTGAGTGGGTCGGTTGGGAGAGGAGGCTCTTGGGTTGTCCCGTTGGGCACAGGATGTTCTGGAGCTTTCTTGTTGGGTGGATCGGTTGGGAGAGGAGGCTCTTGGGTTGTCCCGTTGGGCACAGGGTGTTCTGGAGCTTTCCCTCTGAGTGGGTCGGTTGGGAGAGGAGGCTCTGGGGTTGTCTGATTGGGCACAGGATGTTCTGGAGTTTTCTCGTTGGGGAGTACACGTAGGAAAAGAAGTTTGAGGGTTGTCCTGTTGGGTAGAAGAGGTTCTGGAGTTGTCTTCTTGGGTGGCTTTGGTGGGAGAGGAAACTTGAGGATTGTTGAGTTGGGTGGACGAGGTTCTAAGGTTGTCCCGTTGGGTGGTTCTTGAGGGAGAGGATCCTCTGGGGGTGTTCCGCTGTGTGGAAGAGGTCCTGGGGACGTCCTGTTGGGTGGATGAGGTTCTGGGGTTGTCCCGTTGGGTGGTTCTCGCGGGAGAGGAGGCTGGGGGGGTATCGAATTGTGTGGAAGCAGCCTGGGCAACGTCCTTTTGGGCAGAACGATGGAGAGAGGAAGCCTGCGAGGTGGCACTTCGAGGTCCACTCTGCGGTGTTCCAGAGGCAGCCGGGTTTAGCGCTGGCTGATGCCGCTCCACGGAGAAGTACCTGCTTTCTCCCCGGAGCTTCGCCCAGTGCTGCCCAGCGCTTCGGCTCCCACTGCCAGTGTCTGGAAAGGGCAGAGGGAGGTTGAAGGTAAAGGGAGAGGTCCAGGCAGCTCTCACACCCTATCTTTCTTTGTCCCCTGGGACAGAGGACTGGGGCAGACCCTACACCCTCTTCTGAGAGGACTCGCCGTCCATAGCGGGTGACTCCACCCCCTTGACCAAGGCACACTGGAGGATTCAGACGCCTCTCTCAAACTGAGGCTGGGAATTTGAAATTGAAACCCAGGCTGACTCAATCACTGGGAAGTGGACTCCAGAGCTGGAAGGTGACATCGTCTGGGGGTCCATGGACAAGTCAGAGAACTAGCAAGCTCGTAGAGAGCAGTTTTGACAATAGCCCGGGGACGCCAGAGAGGGAGAGGTGGATCTGGAGGCAGCCACCTAACCACTTTCCATTCTCAGTTCTACTTCCTGCAGCTGGATTCCCAGAAATTCTCCCGTCTCTTCTCAGGAGCCTCTTCCATGGGGGATAGCTCTGGAAAGCTCCCGTGCCTCGTACCCAGAGGCCCTGCCCCGGAGGGTGCGCTCAGGGCCGCCACGAGGGGGAGATGGGTGCAGAGATGGCATAGCCTCTGGTGAACGGGCAGCACTGGCCTCACCTGGGAGTTTGCTAGAAATGCAGAATCTCAGGTCCCACCCTGGGCATCACAACCCACATTTTAATAAGATTCCAGGTGATTTGCATGCACATACAGTTTAAGAAGCCCTGGTCTAAGGGATTAAACAGTGACCCCTTCACAACTCCCATCCCCATGAAGGGGCCGCCATGATGGTGGTGTCACCCTCCAACCCCCTCAGTCACTTGGTCACCGAGCATGTGGTGGCTATAAGTTATTTGCATGTCCCTGGGCTGCAGCTTCAGGAGAGAAGTAAAGGGTTTTGTGGCCTCATCTTGAAGGAGCTATGACTGTCTTCATTAAAGGCCATGTTTAAGATTCTCTCTCCTCCCCCTTTGAAACTTCTGCCTCCTCCCACCTTCTGAGCTGGCGTCACTGAAGTCTATATTCCCAGCACCTAGCAAGGAACGGGAACCTATCACGTGGCAGCGCTTAAAATTTGCGTTCTTGTTGCCTGATGGACGATGCCCCACGCGGTCCAAACCTGCCTGCTTCTCTCATCCGCCTCCTTCTCCTTCCCCACCCTCATTTCTCCCCTGGGTCGTTCAATAGCCCCCAACATATGCCCTCTGGGACCGAGGTCATCGTCCCATCCAGGGAGATCCTTTCCAAGACACCCCTAGTTAGATGGCCCGTGCTTACAAGGAGAGACCGAAAAGCGACCACAGATTGGAGGAGACCAAGGAGACACAGTGACAAACGCAACATGCGATCATGGATGGGGCCCTGGACCAGAAAAGGGACATTAGTGGAAAGACTGGGGAATCCCAAAGTCTGGTTTAGTTACTAGCATTGGACTAACGTTCAGGTCTTCATTTTGGTACAGTTATGTAAGACGTTAACGGAGGGGAACACAGGTGAGGGTGGAATGGAAACGCTCTGCACTTTCCTGGCAACTCTTTCAGAAATCAAAAATTATTTCAGAATAAAAGGTTGAAAAAACTTCAGGGGGTCCCGACTTAGAATAAAATCCACTTAGAATAAAATCCAGGGATTTCCCAAGGCTGGCAAGGCTCCCCCCGCCCCCACTGGCCTCCTTGCTCCATGTGGGTAGGGCCTCAGCTTTTTGCTTTCCGTCGTGTCTCCTGGGCTCCGGAACGGGCCTAGCAAACCCTAAGTGCTCAGTAACCCTGTGCTGCTGCCCTCCTGCTCTGAGTCCTGCCTTGTGCTGGAGTCTTCCCCACCCCGTGAGCACGGAGCTGGCTGAGACGGGGCTGCCACCGGTCCCAGGAGCCCGCAGCTGGGTCAGTGCCCCCAGCCCTGGTTTCTTCCCTTCCCACCCATCTCAAGCCTCCCTTTGAGCCTGGCCTACCCAGGGTCCGACTTCACTCCTACAGCCCCCTTAGTGGGGACACTGGGCTGGCTCTACCAATGTCCCAGGGCACTGTGTCCCATCCCTCAGCCAGCCCCGCTCTGCACAGCCTGCCCCATGGAGTGTGCTTGGCACCCCGGAAGGAGCCCCCAGAGCGATGCCAAGGAGTTCCTAGCCTCTTGGAGTTGAGGAATTCTGCCCGGACCCTGGTCCCCTGGCTGCAATTTGGGAACCTGCCATCAGGTGGACAGTGATGACCGCCACTGACTGAGCAGGTCACACAGTGAGGCTCCCCTAGCCCACTGCCCCGTGTTTAAGAGCAAGAAAGCAGGTATTTAGTACAAAATCCCGCCGCCTATCAGGCCATTGGTACCCTGGGGCGGCCCTGTGTTACTACTTCCCACACCCTCTCCCTGGGGCCTGATAGGGCAGGCGGTGGGGGTGGGTGGTGTCAAGATCTGATTAACAGTTTTAAAAGATGGCTCCTGCTGCTGGGGGGTTGGGGGCGACCAAAAGAGACCAGGTCAGAAATGGGAGATATTGAGGGGGTGCCCGCAATATCTCGGAGTAGCGGTACAGGTGGCAAGAAGGGGACAGATTTGGGGTGCGTTTTGGAGGCACCGCTGACCAGAACTGCTGAGGGTTGGATATAAAGGGTGAGGAAAGAGGGGTCACAATAACAGGGGATCTGGGGCCTGAGCTGCCGGACAGATGGTGACACAGAGCAGACTGCAGGAGAAACGGGTCCGGAAGGGGGTCAGGTTACAGGTGGCCCCCCACAACAGCCTCCTCTCCATCCTCTCCCACGCTCCACACACTTCCATCACCCCACTTGCCTTCTGCCCCTTGAACCCGCCACCTCTGTCTCCTTCTTAGGCCCTCTGCAGCGGCTGTTCCTCCTGCTTCTGAACCAGATCTCGGCTGCAATGTCACCTCTCCAGAGAGGCCCTCGCTGTCCACCCGGCCACTCGCCCTCACAGCCTCCTGTCCGGATTCTCCACGTCAGTCACCGCTCTCTGGTCTAGCTTTTCCTCTGTGTCCTGTGTGCCTTCCCTCCCCTGGGCTGCCAGCTCCGTGTCCGTCTTGTTCACTGCAGTTTCTCCAGCACTCGGAGAGCCTGGCACACAGTAGGCGCTCAATAAGCTCTATCAAATGAGTGGAATAGAGTGCTGGGGTGAGTTTAAGGTGCTATCTTACACCCCGGGGACAGGTCCATAGTCCAGAAGAACTAGAGTTCAGGGGAGAAATCAAGACCAGAGGGGTAGACTCAGGAGTCATCGATTTTTCCAGATAGTATTGAAAGTCGAGCAGCTGAGTGTGCAGGCAGAGGACAGAAGGGGGCCCAGGACTGGGCGCTGGGGCATCCGATATTTGAAGGGCGAGCAGAGGAGGAGGCATCAGGAAAGGGGAGCGAGAAGGAGCGGCCGGGGAGAGAGGCCCTGACCCTCGGCCGGGCACTCCCACTCTCTAACGCTCTTGCTCAGAGCTCTCACACCCACAGCCACAGCTGCCCCAACAACTGGATCTTTTCCTCTCCTGAATCCAAACCAGGATCACACACGGCATTTCGCTTCCCTGTCTCTGCAACCTCTTTTATTCGAGAACAATTCCCCAGCTCTTTGCCTTTCATGAAGAGTCCAGTCAGTTATCTTGCAGAATGCCCCTCAATTTGGGTTTGTCTGATGTTTTTTGGAGATTAGACGCAGGTGATGCTTTTTTTTTTTTTTTTTGGTGAGGAAGATTTGCCCCAAGTTAATATCTGTGCCAATCTTCCTCTATTTTGTATGTGGGATGCCTCCACAGCATGGCCAATGAGTGGAGTAGATCTATGCCTGGGATCCAACCCACGAACCCGGGCTGCTGAAGCAGAGCATGCCTAATTTTAACCACTTGGCTACAGGACCAGCCCCAGGTGACGTATTTTGAGCAGGAAGACTCAGAAAGGATACCAGGTCCTCCCCGGTGCATCACATGAGGGCACCTGAGGCCACTTTGCCCCACACTGGGAGGCTGAGCGGCCACTTGGTCAAGGCGGTGTCTGCTGGATCTTCCCATCCTAAGGGTGCCTTTCCCTCTGTAATCCATGTGCAACCTGAGGGCTGATACTTTGAGACCATATCAGTATCCTGTTCCCCAACAACCTTTCACCCAGGACTTTAGCATCAGCCAGTGATTCGAGCCTGAACTTTGATCATGACAGGGGCTGCAACAGTCCTTCTACTGGTTTCTCACCCCTCAGCCTCGCCCGGCTCCAATTCATCCTTCCCACATTTTCCCTGGTGAACTTCCTAAGGCACAGGTCCAATTACATCACTCCCCACCTGAAAAACCTTCCATGGCTCCCTACTACTTAGAGAAGAAAGTCCAAACTCCTTGGCTAGACCGTTGAGGCCCAGCATGGTCTGGCCCAACTGTCCACTCCCATCTATGCTCACACTGTACATGACCAGGACACCCCCTGCTCACACCTCCAAGCCTTTGCCCGGGCTGATTCTTCAGCCAGAGCGCCAGGTCCAGAAGGCAGCCCTCTGTGAGTCCTTCCCCGGCCGGAAGGAGGCTCTTTCTCCTCTGCCCCTGGCCCCACCCAGCCCTTCACTCACAGCACGGCACACTGATCTCTGTCCTGGGCTCTTGCTCCTCACCTCGCATCTGTCTGCTTCACTAGCTGCTGAGCTTTCTGGGCAGGGACCACGTCTCACTCCTCCTGAACCCCCAGGGTGTCTCACACCAGGTCTTACATGCAGTTAATGCTTGCATGTTTGATGACTGAATGCTACAGGAGCCAGGGGAAGCCAGGACTGCCCGTCAGGCTTAGGACATGGATGGCGTGGCCCCACATCTCCAAATCCTGATGATGCTAAAGACACAGACCAGGAGGCAACACAGTGCAGTAGTGAGGGAGGGCCCAAACTCTTGGGCCGAGGACACTGGGCTTGTATATTAGCAAGATGCTGACCAGTGTCATGGGCATCTGTGGGCTTGGACTGACCAGCAGCCTTTTCCTTTGCTGTGGGAACATCACTTTGATTTTCTCTGGGCAATCTGCTCTCCCTTACTCTTAGGCCATGAGGTTTGCACAAGGGGCTGACCCCATTCTTGATCACCAGGTTGGACATATGACCCATGCTGGACCCCAGGGAGAACCCTTCCTGGAACTTTAGCTACATCTCTTGGGAAGATTGTAGCCTCTTTCTTGGGAGTTGATAAGCAGGTGAGATACAGCCTGGCACTGCTGCTGTTCATCATGCCACTGTCGGGGGAGGGTTTGGCTGAGAATGAAGCCAACACAGAAGAAGGCAAAGCAGAGACAAGATCTCTGATGCTGCTTGAACACCTGGATCCAGCCATACCTGAAGTCACATCCCCCTAGACTTTTTACTCAGCCAGTTTCTGTCACTTGCAACCTCAAGATCCTAACCCCCCAATTGCGAGATGATGTATTTAAAGCAGGTTGCATGGCACATCATGGCTGTTCCATAATTCTATGGGAACTGTTACTATTATTAAGACTTGAGCTACCAAAGTAAGACATGCTCAGGGGCCCAGATGGCCAGTGAGATGGCTCTCTGGGCTTCAGGCCCCTCACCATCACCACACTGTGGTCACAGGGACCAACCTGGCCTGGCAGAAGGACTCACCCTCCTTTTTCTGGCCTGCAGTGTCTCCTCCCACAGGAGACCAGTTGAGAACTGATGGAGCCCTTCGGGAGCTGTCAGCTCTGGGCCCCTCCTGCGGCTTCCGCGGGATCATCACGGTGAGCTTGTCCCAGCTGGGGACTGCCTCCCACCTCTCCACGGTGTCCCAGTCCTGCCAGGGAAGGGAAGAGAAAGCGTGTTTGGAGGGTAAAAAGAAAGCCCCAGGCCTGCGCTCCCACCATGGGATGGGTAGAGAAGGGAAAGGAACTGACATTGAAAGAGCACCTGCTGTGCACCCAGCCCTGTGCTGGGCTCTCCGCAGGTGTTAACTCGCTAGTTGTCCACCGACCCTGTGAGGCAGGCGTGTCGGCGGGAGCTGAGAACGCGCCCAAAGTCACACGGCCGGAAAACGGTTTATATGGGAGGGGACCTGAACCCAGGGCAGGCGGACTTCATGTGGTAGGAGGGCCCTGGCATAGCAGCCCCTGCCCCAGAGACACCCCCAGTGTCCAGGAAGTGGGTTCAAACCTCGCCCCACCACTGCCCAGACGTGTGGCCTCAGATAAGTTGCTTCCCTTCTCTGAGCCTCAGTTGTTTTGCTCCAAAACAGAGCCATAAAAGTCTCTACCTCAGACCGGGGTGGGGCGCCTTCCTGAGCTCCTGGCCCCTGGCCCATCATTTCCCGTCACTTCCCCTGGGGGTCACAGGGACAGCCTGCCTCTTCTACCCCATGACAGCCCTTTGAGGACTGAATGCCCCAGGAAGTTCTCCTGAGTGTGTCCTCTTCTCCCGGCTAAATGGCTCCCAGCCCTTGCCAGGCCCCCCAGCCTGCTCGCTTTCCTCTGTCCCTCGGAGATCAGTGCCAGGGCTGGTCACTGGTCATGGGGCTCAGCATTAGGTGACCAGGGCCAGTCCCATTCTTGCTCCGGACACCATGCCCAACATCTGGGCCCTCTGTGACCTGAGAGTTTTGGGCAGCCTGGGCCCATTGGTGATTCACCCGGAGCTCCCTCCCAACTGAAACTCCTTCCTCCATCTTTTCACAGACAGGCCCCCACCGCCCTCCTGGGCTGGCCCTGCAGAGCCCCCTGCCCCTCCCAGGGGGGTGGTCCGGGGGGCCCGAGGTGCTGGCTAAGTCTCTAGCGGACCTGGGCCAGTTCCCTGGCATGAGAGGCTCAGCCTTGTCTGCAGTCTGGGTGGGGCCCCGGGGCTGGCACAGACGGGCAACCCGCTCTTGCCCCGGCCTCCCACGCCCAGCTCACCACGGAGGACACGTCGCTGGTACCATCAGGGGCGTCACGGTCAGGGCCGGAGCCGGTGCGAGAGTCAGGGCCCCTGTCGAAGCCGTGGCACAGGTGGGAGGCGGGGCCCTCCAGATAGGGCACTGCCTCGGCCTCCCGGCTCCCGCTCCTGGGGGCGGCTGTGGGGCCCTCTGTGGGGAGACCTGCAGGGCCCCTGGGAGAGGAGACAGACCCGTGAGTTCCCCAAAATAGTGGGAATTAAGTAACATCCCCACCTCCCCCCGGGCACACACACCTCACACAGGAGCCAGGAACCTGCACGTTGGAGTGACGGTGGAGCCAGCACCAAGGGCTCTCCGTGCCATGCTGGGCCCTTTACCGGGGCTGCCTCGTGTAGCTACAACAGCCTCCCTTTGAAGCGAGTGTAAGATTCCCACTTTACAGATAAACAAACTGAGGCTCAGAGAGGTCAAGAGCCGGACAAGGTTGCAGAGCCAGGAAAGGGCAGAGCTGTGTTGTGAACCAGGGCTGTGGCCCCACCCCCAACCCTTTGTCGCTGGAGCAGGAGTGCAGACTCCAAGTACAGTGCGACTAAGAAGACAGAATTGTGCTGGGCTAGTGGGGGGGGCTTTGAGAGGTAGCCAAACTCCAGGGGCAGTGACAGGGCCACCAGCCCGGATCCCAAGGGAGGGAGCTACAGAGAACCCTGCTTTAGAGAAGCCAGTCAGGGTGGCCACAGACCCAAGTAGGCTTAGAGCTGGCGGTATCCCTAAAGAGTGACCCACAGACTGGACTATAAGACGGAAATGGGTGACGACCCTGAAAAAGAGGTCTGCGGTCAAATAAGTTTGGGACACACTACATACCTCTCCTACCTCCCCCACCCAAGAGCGTAATGCATGGTAGCAACCTCGAGGCTCTGACAAGTCCTGCAAGATACAGTATTTAACTTTGTTTATTCCAGACTTTCTGAAACATATTTGATGGCAGACTGTTGTGTGTTTTTTTTTAATAATGCCTACTTATGTGGAGCACATGTTTCCAAGGCAGTGATGACTTGATTCAATCCCTCTTATTTTTTAAACAGGAGAACTGAGGCACAAAAACAGGGAATATCTCATAGCATCAGGGATGGAGCTGAAGCTGGACCCCAGGTTTCCAGACCCTCAGTCATTCCCTCCCAAGGCACCAGGGCCCCCCAGGGGGCTTCAGTTCAGCTCGGGCCTGGGGGTCGAGGGAATCCCAGAGCCCGGAGCAGTGCACGGTCAGAGGGGTGGGTGATGGCAGGTGCCCCTGGGGCCGAGACTGTTGAATCTTCTCGAGCAGTGCAAAGGGAAGAAGGAAACGTGAGTGGGCTGTGGGCCATGCCCCCTGCAGTGTGGGTGCTCGGCTGCCCCACACCCGGGAGCGAAGCTGAGCGAGGCCCAAGGACCGTGCCCTCCGCCTGCGTGTGCCCAGGTCATGGGGACTGACCATGTGACCCATGACAGCAGCCATCGCAGACAGATGCTGCCATCATGAAGGGGCGTGGGGTGCGGTGGGTGAGGCCATCCTACCCCAGGGAGCCCCTCCCAGGTCCTGGGGTTCTACCTACCTCTCAGGCCCTGGCCCAAGGCCCAGGCCCACCGCAGACTGGCAGCCGGAGGTCGAGGCGCCGAGCAGGTCCTCAGAGGCAGGCGACCGGTGAGGCAGGTCACAGTAGGGCACCTCGGCACTTAGAGGGCTCTGGGGCTCCTGGGACAGAGTTGGAGAGAGGAGGCAGCTCGTGGCCCACGTCGGGGCTGCCCTCCCCCTGCGCAGCCCCTCCCCCACCAGGCCGTGTGTGCCAGTCTCCCGCATCTCCTCCTGGGATCTCCTCCGGGGATCTCATGCGGCTCAAGGAGAGCTGTCCATCAGGCTGGAAGCGCCCCTGGGGCCCCAAGCCGGGCGCTGGCAGAGGTACAGAGTGTGCCTGCACACGTGTGGCCAGGTACGTGTGTGTATAAAGGCCTGTGTGTGTGCGTGGGTGCACACGCATGCACATGTGTGCAAGCTGGGTGGGTGCACTCACACACACGTTCGAGTAAGTCCCTGTCGGTTTATTCATGTGTGTGTCGGTGCATATGTGTGTGTGTGCCTGAGGCTGGGAAGTGCACAAAAGGACCCAGAAAGGTCTTCTGTAGCTAGAAGACCGGGGTGAGGGGGCAGGGAGCAGGGAGGGTAAGCCGGCCTGGAGAGTGAAGGAGGTCTGAGGGAGGAGGAGCAGATGGGAAAATAAGAGCCTGGAGGAAGGGAGAGCCTACTGAAGGGGGGGCCCCAGGGCTGGAGGGTCAGGGCCCCAGGGTGGGGCAGGGACCCTGAGCCGACTATGGCCTCTGTCCCTCCTGCCCTGAGCAAGGCCACACCTGTGAAGGCAGGTGCCTGGTGCCAGGCTCACCCAGGGGGAACAGCTGCTGGCCCCCAGGCAGGCCCCCCACCCCTCCCCGGCTCCCGGGTGGCAGGGCCCTCCCCGGCGGTGGGAGACGGCGGCCACAGCACCCGCACCCCGCCTCCTCTCAGGTTACCTGGGCGGCGGGCTCCAGCGGTGGCGCTGGCGGCTGTCAGCACCCTCGTCCCCGGGGGGCTCGTTCGCCCCCGCACAGCCGCCCTCCCAGGCCCCGACTCCGGGCCGAGGCGGCGGCCGAGGCAGCGGAAACCTTAGAGGGGCCGGCGTGGGAGCAGGGGCCCCTCATTACTGTTTCATGGGCCGGGCCGGCCAAGAACAATACAGGACACCCAGCCTCAGGAACCCGATCCCCAGGCTCACCTGAGAGCCGCCACGGGCGGGGCCTGGGCACGGCTCCCCGGGGACCCTGGAGCCCAGAGCCCAGCGCTGCGGCCACAGCCCCAGTGGGCACAGACCTTCCAGGCTCCAAGCAGGCCGTCGCTGGCAGGACCCGGGCAGAACCAAGGCTTGGGGCCGGGGTGTCTGCAGGGCCATCCAAGCGACAGGAGGCCCGTCTGGGTTCGTTCCGCCCCTGCCCAGGGGCCAGATTCTGATCAGAGTGTGGCAGCGGGAGGTGTCAGATCCACAGCCCGGCCTGGCGCCTCGGCCGCCCTGGGGACCTTGCCACGTGACTGAGGAGGGAGAAGCTCGCTGGGCATCACCAAGGGGTCCCAGCCCAGCTGGGCCCAGCAGGACCCGACCCTGTCACGGCCGCTCCTCCCTGCTCTCACCCCCAGGTCGGTCCCTACCCACCACTGCGTGACCAGGCCCAGGAGCCAGTCCTCAGCTCTGATTTCCTGTCTGGTGGGTCAGCACAGGCTCTGGCCTCAGACAGACATCAGGCCCCATCCTGGCACCTCCACTTCCCAGCTGGGTGACCTCAGCCCCGTGGCTTCCCTCTCTGGGCCTAGTTTTCTCATCTGCAAACTGGGGAGGCCCCACCTCCCAGGAGTGTTATAAGAATTAAATGAGTTAATATTCGTAAAGGGCCTGTTCTGTGCATCTTAAATATAATAATGTAAAAGCATTAAACAGAGTTTTATTAGTGTTAAATCAATAGAATGTTAACTACACTTAAGAATAAATACACTGGAAAGGGATGTGGGTGCCTGGCATACAGCAGGACCCTCCCCCCTGGCTCTCCTCCCTCCTTCTAGAACCTGACCATGACCTGGTCCAGGACCTATGATTTCCAGGGATAACCCCTCCCCCCGCCCCCACCTGTGGGAGTCTCAGCTGAGAGCAGAGCAGAGATGCATCCTGAGCCCAGGATCCCAGGGGAGCTGGAGCCAGCTTCCTGGGAAGGGTTGCCCTGGGACCTGGGGCCACTTCTGCATACTCTAGGGTAGGAGAAAACGTCAGAATGGCTCCAGCCCCAGGAGACACCTTTTTCAGGCCCGCAGGGATGGTTTGTGCCCAGGTGTC